CGCGCGAGAAGGGCGGGCAGAAGGAAGGCGGCGGGCGGCGGAGGCATGGCGGGGCTGTGCGGGCGGTGGGAGATTCTCTTCAAGAGGGCTACGCGCGCAGGGACAATGGGTGAGAGGAATGGCGATTGGGGGCATCCAAAAGGGACATGATGATGCTACCGGAGAAAAGGAGGACACCGCACACGTGGCACGGCATGCCCAGGGCTTTTACAGGGGGCCCCGCGTGCACCGCAGGGCCTGCTGACACCACCTGCCTGCTCACACGAAACTCAGTGACTGTAAGCCTTTTCGATTTACAGTGAACCCTCCCGATAAGGATCATTCTCCATATGGATATCCTCCGTAAACGGATAAAAAGTCGAGCGACGTACTCCGTAGCTTACAAATTTTTACCAAAAAACAATGTCTGTGGAATATTCCTCAATTGGATATCGGGTTCAATGTGAAATAAGCATATCATACAGACCCCTCCTACTTAAAACGTATTTTATGGTTACTTTTGAGCGACCAAGGCACATATTACCCCACAACCGTTCATTCTTGATCAATCCGTTCACAATCTGCTCAATAAATTCCAATCCCCGTCTGAGAGACCCTCAGGGCGAGGCTTCGCAATTATCATCATTCTCGACAAAAACATCTTTCTAGCATATACTCCTGTTGGTCCTCCCCTAATAAATCTCCTCTGATCGCAAACATTGCGTGTTGTCAGCACCGTAGCCATCTGCCCCCGTCAAGCGACAATCGTCGATGAAGCGCTCTGAGCTTAACCTCGCCCAAAAGCAACAAATATGTGCAGAGTTCCAACGGCGCAAAAAGAGCAAGGAGCAGACGTCACAAAGCGCCCTTGCGAAGTGGGCCTCAGTACAGTTTTCCCTTTCCAAACCTCCTGCTCAGGCTGTCATGTCCCGCATCATCAACGGAAAGTATGGATTTCGTCCCGATATCTCTACAAAAAAGTTCAAGCGCTCCGCGTCAGTTACCAGCCCACATCTCGAACGCGCAGTCGCAACTTGGGTCTCTGCCCAATTTGCAAATAGGGTAAACATCACAGGTCATCATATAACTACGCAAGCGGAGCGCATTCAATCACAGCTCAACAAAAACCTTCCTCCTGGTCAGCAGACTACTCTCAATTTTTCCAAAGGGTGGCTTCAAAAGTTTAAAAAGCGTTGGAATCTGAGGTCATACAAGTCCTTTGGGGAATCAGGGGACGCAGACATGGAGGCAGTACAACAGCATCTGCCCGCACTTCAGAAAAAACTGAAAAACTACGCCTTCGGAGACATATGGAACGCTGATGAATTCGGGCTTTTTTATCGAATGGCACCTGACCGCACCATCGCCGAGCGTGCTCTGAGTGGTGCTCTGAGTGGTCGTAAAAAAGATAAAACGCGATTAACATATCTCGCGTGCGCGAATGCTGATGGTTCTGAGCGGTTTCCTTTAATGGTCATCGGGAAAGCAGAGAGGCCTCGTTCGTTTAAAAAGAAATACGGGCACCAACTGGGGTTCGACTACTATAACAACGGCAAGACTTGGATGACAGCCATGCTTTTTTTTGAATGGCTAATGCGGTTTAACTTCTACATTGCAAGTACGCCTGGTCGAAAAGTTATTCTTCTGTTGGACAACTGTAGCGCACATGGAAAGTATGGTACAATTCCGTCCCTCAGCAATGTGGTTGTCGAGTTTTTGCCGGCAAACACTACATCTAAAATACAGCCAATGGATGCCGGAGTGATAGCAAGTGTGAAAGTTTTATACAGAAAGTGGCAAATGGAACGCGCTTTAGATAATTTAGACGCTGGTGCAAAGAATATCTACAATGTCAATCAACTGCAAGCCATGGTTCAAGTTCGGCGCATTTGGAAGAGTATGTCAAAGGATGTAATTTTTAATTGTTGGATACATACGGGGCTTTTGGACGAGAAGATACCGCCTGAAGCCACGACAACTGACGCAGATTGTCGAAAGAGTACAGTAGAGGAGATTGAAGGAATGGTGGGGCAGTTGGTGGGCTCTCGGGCGAGGATCTCTATTGAAAATTTCTTAAATCCCTCAGAGGAAGATGAGGTAACGGCAATGGTATCAGTTGAGGACGTGGTGTCAAGTACGATTATGGAAATGAGGGATGGCGAGGATCAAGATAGGGATCGAGCGGAAAGAAACGACAGTGAGACCTGCGAATCGTTCACAATTAACGAGCAATTGAAAGCATTAGCAATTGTTAAGTCTTTGTTGGAGGATTGCGACGACATTTCTCCAGAAATTCGAGTTGTGATCAATCGTCAGCAGCGCAGTTTGCGTACCAAGAAGGGGAATTGCACAGTCCAGACGACGATAAATACATTTTGAGATGATGTTGCGTTTAGTGGGGCGATCGTGTCTTGTTTGGTGGCAAAGAGGGGGTGAAATGGCTTTTGTTGTGGTGATGAAGGGGTGACGCTGTAAAATTTGCAGAGGTTTACATCCAATAGAGAATTATTTGTAGGGATCGTATGGGCGATGTACTCAACAGGGGGGGGTGACCGCAAAGAAGTTAGTTGTTCGGGAGGGGCGACAGAATCTGAAAAAAGTGGACAGTGCAATATATTGTACTACATGACAGGCGAAATCGGATACTAAGGCGATACTAAAAGAGCGGCTACTCTGCGGTATCCCCATACAGCTGTTTCAGAGAGCAGTCGCCGCGGCTGCCGCTATCCCGGCCGTGCAGACGGCCGTCGTCGAGCGCGGAGGGAGGTGCGTCACGGGTGGCGAGGGCGCGCTGGTGGCGACGGCGGTGTGCGGCGTCGGCGGCATGGCCGCGCGCGAATTGTTCGGCGGCGGCGGCGGCGGCGTTTATGGCGTGGGCGTGGCCGCGCTGGTGGCGGCCGCAGCACGGCTGCTGGGCGGCGTGGCGGCGGGGACTGGCGGCGGCAAGGCGGGGCAAGGGGGGGCCTTTTGGCAGGTCGTGGGGATGCGCGTGGCGGCGCCGAGCTACGCGGCGGCGTGGATGTTCGTGCGCGAGGAGCCGGTGCTGCTGGTGGCCCGGCACGTGTGCGCGCGGAGCGAGCGCGTGGCGCTGGTGTGCGCGTGGGCGGCGGTGGCGGCGGCGTGCGTGGCGTGGGTGTGGCGCGGGGAAGGCGGCGGCCCGCGGGGGCGCGCGTCGGCGCGCAAAGGTGTACCACTTGGCGGCGGTGGCAATTTTCGGCGGCGGCGCGCTGGTTGGTTAGGAGTGCAGAACAATGGAAGGACGAGGACGTGCCGCTGCACGTGTGGATACACTCGTGGTTACCGGTGGTGGGAAGGCGCGGCTTGGGAGAAGTGCTGGGGAGGGTGAGGGTGCGGGTGACGAAGCGCCTGGAGAAGTGGAGTAGCAGATACAGAATGGAGAGGACCGCACAGGGATAAGGCGGCGATACCGGCGTGGCGATCATATCGTGGATTAATTGTCCTTACAATATCCGTGTTCTAGAAATGTGGGGTTTAATAGCCCTGAAACCCTCGAGTACTTGTCATTTTGGATTACTACACGGGCGAAGCAGGCCAATTGTGTTGTTTGGGACGGGCGACCAAAGGCGACATTTCAGTGGTCGGGTCTAACATACTACTGCTATTCTTCCCTTCGCCCCCCCTGTGCAACAAATTCGCACGATTCGGACCCTGTTCACTACAACAAAAGCCATTTCACCCCCTTTTTGCCACCAAACAAGACACGATCGCCCCACTAAACGCAAAATCTCCCATACATTTTTTAAAAGTACAGCACAGAAATTCTGAGAGATACGGTCTCCGGATGTGGATGTGCAGGGAATATCCTCCGCAAATGGATAAGGATTACGTCCACCGAGCGTATCCATATCGGGAGGGGTTCACTGCACATGATCGGACTGCTCACACGAAACTCAGTGACTGTAAGCCTTTTTCGCTTTACATGATCGGACTGCTCACACGAAACTCAGTGACTGTAAGCCTTTCCCGCTTTACATGATCGGACAGCATCCAGACGCGCTGTGCACGTCCGTGGCAAAGCATTGCTGGACGCCGGTAGGGCTGTACACGTGACCAACTGTACACGTAAACTCCAGCCAACGACCTTGGATGACTGCGGGGGCCCGCTGTCTTCAGCACCCCACCCGCTCTGTCCATCGCGACCCACCCCACAGCCATTGCACTCCCCCGCCCTCCTATTCCCCTTCCCCCTCCTCCCTCCCGCCCCGCCCTCCCGCCGCGCCAAGCCGCTCAACCATGTCCAAGTCGTACTTCTTCTTCGGCGCGACCTTCTTCCTACTGGCGGTACGTGACACCTGGCGCCCCCCGCGCTTCCCTCCCTTGCCGCTCCGCCCTCTCCCTCGCTGACCGCCCCCAGACCTGCGCGACGCTGCTGCTCACGTGGACGTGCTGGTCTATCGCGGTGATCGGCCCGTCGGTGCCCGCGCGCCGCGCCTTCTTCCGCCCGGTCTCCGCGGTCCCGGACCTGATCCGGGAGGCCTCCGAGCACGCGACGCGCCCCATCTTCGCGTACGCGCTCGCCGCGGGCTGGCCCACGCCCAACTCCGCCGTCCGCATCGTCGCCGCCCTGCTCGGTGTCCTCTGCGCATTCTCGTTCGCCCTGCTCGCCGCCGTCTTCCCGCCGCGCACCGCGCGCAGGGTCTTCGTCGTCGCCCTGGCAGCCGTCGCTGTCGCCGCGCTCGTGGCTGTGTGTCTCGATGTCACCTCCATTGTGAAGACGCAGGGAGAGTGTGACAGGAACGACTGCGTTACGCTCGTGCCGCAGGGCGTGCGGGAGAGCGGTAATACCTGCATGTGTAGCGTCGATGTCGCGTTTTGGTTCACCGTCTTTGTTGACCTCGTGCTGTTCGCGTCCGCATCGCTGTGTCTCTTTTTGACCGCCTACCCCATGATCAAGAGGCGCGGCGTCGACCCAAGCCGCACGCTATCGTAACTGCTTCACTGTTCAATTTTCGTCGCGTCCCGTCCGGCAAAGCGCCGAAGGAGTGCGCGTGCTGTGTTTTGCCCGCCGTCTATGTCACTCAATAAGCATTCATTGATTGCGGCGTCAAGACTCAGTTCGTGCCCTACTCGTGCTCTACTGCAATGCCAGATCTACGTGCGTCGCCCAAGCGCTGCCCTGCCACGCTCTAAAGCTCGCCCAAAATATACAAACTGTTAAACCAACAGGTGGGCAACACCGCCTAACTATCCGGCTCAATCGTGCTCAAAACTCCCTCTACAAGTCACCCACAACACAGTACACCCTCTATTGTCAGTCATCCGTTCGCTCCCCGTAACCCAAGGCTGCGCCAATAAAACTTAACTTACCGCCATTAATCGTCGCGCAGTAGTGCTCCGCAATCTCCTGGCACACCACCAGCACCATTCCGCGCCCGTTCTCGTGTGCCTCCTGCATTGCCGAGTACGCACGCGAAAACGTCAACCCCTGGCACGTCTTGATTAGCACGTCCACCACACGCTCGCGCGTGTTCACCGGGTCGTTGTAGATGTACAGCCGGTACATGGGCGGCATTTTCGTCTGTCGCTCCACAGTTGGTTTAGGCTTCGTTTTGGTGGCAGGCTTCTTGACGGGCGCGCTCACCATGCGAGGGGAGACCCGAGCGCTCGCCGGCGTGCGGCAAACGGCCCCGCGCGGGGCGGCCGCTTGGCCGAAGAAGGCCGACAGCGTCGGTGTGAAGGCTGGTGACGACATCGTCTGCTGGTTGTGCAGGCTGGGTATTTGGTTTGCTCGTTATTTCACACCGCAGCACCACCGCCACGAAGGTAGATCGGCAGTGCTCGACAGTCTTTGCCGTGGAGATGATGCGCTCTTGTGCCGTGGATAGCCTTGGGAGATGTTTGTGATATCCCCTACTGCAGGCGGAAGCAAATTGCCTGCAAAAAAAAATCCCTGAAATCTGTAGTACTGTACAGTATGAGTTGATGCACGAATTCAGCAATTGGCGATGGAGATTCGCTCTCGCGCAGCTCCCGTGGTTGTTTCCCTGCCGCACTCTTAACCCGTTGCCGTAGCCTGTAACGCCTGCGACTGCCCATCATGACCAATGGTAAGCCTAGTAGCCATCGCTTGTGCGCACCCCACCCCGCCAACAGCAAACGAGCCACCACAACACCTCACCGAGACCTCTATCTAAACATTTGAACCGCACTCGGTACGAGCCTGCCCAGTTCGAGCACTACCTCGACGGCGATCAGGAACAAGATGGCGCGTTCCACCCTGTCCGACGACGACGACGACAGCTCATTATTCAGAATATCCAGCGCATCCTTAATCACCTGCGTCCTCGTATTCAAAATGCGCGCGCGCTGCCTGAGCTCCACTTCCCTAGCACACTCGACATGCAAGCCCTCCAACTCTGCGTGCTTCCAGAAAAATTCTGGTGTGTCCATGATGTCCGACACGAGATTGACCGAGTAGCGCGCCGCCAGCAGCTCGCCGATGAGCCGTTTCAAGTCCCGCTGCGACAGCTGGATCTTCCCGTCCCGCGCCAGCTCGTCCGGCAGCGTGCGCGTCCGCTTGACCAGGTTGTCGATCTCCTCCTCGAATAGCAGCAGCTTGACCGATTGCGCCAGCCCGTACGACAAGGCCACCAGCTGCGTGGCATCGGAGAAACTGGACAGTTGGATGGCGTCGTTCTTGAAAGTCGCCGTTTTGCGCGTCCCGTCGACGATGTAGTTGAATTCGTGGTCAAACTGTTCCATTGCGAGCGGCAGCGTGTGTTTGGTGCGTAAGGAGTGGAGGATAGGCGGTGTGGATCGGTCCTGAAAGTTGGCCAGGGAGTCGAGAAGCTGCCTCCTGACACTGATGGGGAGTCCCCAGAACACAGCTGCGCCCGAGCTGAAGAAGAATGCATGGCCATGGTAGGCGCTGGTGCCCACGGACTGGAGGGGGAGATGCGCGACGTCGCCGGAATAGAGGTTGAAGCCAGTGCTCTTGAAGAGGAGGTTTTCCTTTTCGAGGTGGATCGAAAAGTTTCGCGACTTGAAGTGGTTGCTCACTGCAGTTAGGGATACGGGCGCGCTCACGCAATAGGCGGCGCAGACACCGTCCCCATCCTGGATGCGTCGATGTCTTGTTTTGCGACCTAAAGAAGCCGCTATGGGTCTGTGTGAGGTGAGTGATCTGGTGAGGTGTGGTATCGATCCATGGTGAGAGGACTGATGGATAAGGGCATGCGGGCTTGCTTGTATCCCTGCCGGAAGAGCACGACGGATGCAATGTAAACTCATCCGATGTGTGGTTCAAAGCTTGACAGCGAAGATAGAGTGATTGATGCTCATCACGGGGTAAAACCAAGGGAGAATTTTGCAAACGGCTTATGGAACATTTTGTTTAATCTATTCACTATCTCCTCCTCGCCGAAGACTTGGATTGCGGCGGTTGCATGGAGCGTGGTCCAAATTCCGGAACGGGCTCTGCCGCGGCGTCGCTCGCTTGCGCTGCGGCCAAAATGGCGGCCTTGCTACACTCCTGCAGCTCGCCGGAGATGAAGATCTCGTCGAGGACCCAGTACGAACGGGTAAAGTTGAAGATCAAATCCAGCTCGCACACGTTGCCAAAGTACGAGTCGAGGACCTCGACAAACATGTGCAGCAGCTCCATGGTGAGCAGCTCGTTATCATCGCGGTCGGTGCACGCGACGAAGTAGAGGCTAGCGTAGCGCTTGTAGACGACTTTCTCGTCGGCGCGGTCGACGACGTTGCACATCTTCGACGTCCGCGGCAGCACCATGGACACGACGTCGCGCTTGATCTCGGCGCGCTCCGCCTCTTTGTACGGCTCAAACCATTTTGATAGGCGGACCTTGCCTTGCCGGCTGATCAGGAGCAGCCAGTGGATCTGGGCGCGCGCGCGGATGCAAGCAGGGGCGGGTTAGCATGGCGTCGACAGCGGAAAGGTGCGCAGGCGGCAGGCGCGGTGCGACGGGCTCACCATTTGCGCAGGCGCGGGCTGCTGCGGCGCACGTGTGCGCAAGCGGGCGTTTCGCGCAAGATGCGGGCGGCGCGTGCGGCGTGGAGATGGGAAAGGGTGTTGGAGCGGCGTTGACGAAGACGGTGTTTGAGAGACGTGACGGAGGAATGAGCATGCGCACTCGGGTGTTGTAAATAGTGCGGGGCGCAGTACAATGTCCGAGAAGACGCAAATGGCTCGACGGGTGTATAATTTACGGCAGACCGCACTAATGGCGGGCAGAGTGCGACTTACAGCACCAGCAATGTGTTCGCTGAAGAACGACTGTCAGTGGGACGATGTCGGCGAATGCCGGGTTCTCGCGAATGCAGGCCTGCCACACGTGCACTTTCAAAGCTGCTGGCGGCTTTGGAAGTGCACGTGTGGAAGATAAAGATACTTGTAGTGGCACTACTACAAGTATCTTTATCTTTCTCCCAGGGTATATCGCGTAGGGGCATATCCTAAGGTCTTAGCTCTGTTGTAAATAAAGATGTAAGGTATATGATAAGGTACACATTAGAGAGTTTACGCACCCAGTTTTCGCGAATTGAAATTGCGCTTTTCAGAAATAGAATTACACAGCTGTGCCACGTTGCGGAAATTCTGTCCTGGCATGTGATTATTATTGCTCACATGTGACCAAATAGTGAAATCGTTTCTGCAGCTCAGAACAAGCACAACGTATACACGTGGAGATGAAATGGCGGGAGTTGAGGTTTCGAGGCATAAAGTGTCAACCCGGACACCGAACGGGACAAACACTGCACAACATCCCCTACCCAAACCAAAACGTCCTCTCTCTCCGCACCATGGCGCAAGTCAATTCCCCTTCCCCTTCCTCCAAGAAAGCGTCTCCTTCTCCCTTGTGTATCCCCTCTCCGCGCTCTCCATCCACTCCCCCTGTTGGCAATTCCAGTGATGACAGTGCGACGGGAAGCAACAGGAAGGCCAAACCTGGACGTCGCCCCACTTTCACGCCTGAAGATGATCTTATAATCGTCAGGGAGGTGAGTGCTATCAATGCACACGTCGCAAAGTATGGTGAGGTTCAGAGTAGCTTTGCACAGGCCGCCGAGCGAGCGAATCTCAACCCTAACTTATCAGCTAAGGTCACGTGCAAGCGCCTGCAAGACCGGTTCAAGAAGCTTATGGATGCGTTTGAGCGCAAGGACAACTCCGAGCGGCGCATGTCAGGGATTGGCGGTGAGGTGGGTGAGCTGGATGAGATTCTAGGTGGGATGCTTGAAGCGCAGAAGGACATCAAGAACGCGAAGGAGTGCACCAAAGTGGCGCAGGAGGAAAAAAGAAGAGCGCAAGGAGCAGATTGGGCGGGCCTTGGTTGCTAAGGCCTTGGCAAGGAAGGGTACAACCGGAAGTGGAGATGAAAATGCGGATGGTGAGGAGGTTCTTTGTGTGACGGGAAAGGGGAGGGTAAAACGCAGAAAGATCGATTTACATGGAGGTGTGGGTCTCCTCAGCCTTGGCTAGTCTCTGAAGGAGGCTGACATGGCTTTCATTGACGCTGAGCGTGAACGCCTTGCGCTAGATCGCGAGCGCATGCAAATGGAGCGGATGGAGCGGGCAGAAGAGCGCGAGCAGAGGCGCGAGGACCGCAATGCGCACGACAAACTCGAGATGGAAAAATTCGGCCTCATGATTGAGGCATTCACCGGAAAGAAGTAGGTTTGCAGTAGCCGAATAAAGGTTGTTTTACTGATTACGGGAGTCTGTCGGCCATTCTCAGGCCTTTTCAAGCTTTAAATGTCGCTGGAGGCCCTGTCGGGGGCCCTTGGGCTTCTGGTCCCTTCGCCCTACGGGCCCCGGGCAGGGAGGGAGTCGTTTTTGTGGAGGTATCAGCTGAGAGGAGGCGGTGCACAGTCGAAGTACTGCGAAATTGTGTTCGGGTAAACACAGTTCCTCATGTTGGTTAGAAGCATAGATGCCAAATAAATTGCTCCTACCGGTGATTCCGCTATACGAATCTTGCGCTTGAAGTCTACGGTAGTCCAATAAAGCTTCACCTGCTTGAAAATCCACTCAACGGTCACTCGCACTTTTGACATTGCCATGTTGAGGGCCTTCTGATAGTTTGTCAGATTGGACCCCTGGAACGGTACCTCCATGAATGAACGTATGTTGTAGCCAGAATCTCCATACAGGCAGTACTGTATACCATTGACAAACAACATCTCATCCAACATCTCGTCAATTCCACTCCTTACATAAAGCGTCCAATCATGCCTGCGTCCCTCTGTTGGACCATATACATGCAGTATCAGGCCGTCAGGGGTCGTTATAGCCTGGTACTTCAACGCGTGTTTCCTCTTGTGACCATTATATGCCACGTTTTGTGCCTTTGCATCACCGGGACGCGCAACGGCAATGACGGTGCCGTCTATGAATCATATGCAGTTGTCGAACGCATCACTTTTTCTATGTATGGCTGCCGCAAATCTGCATGCATTTCGATGTATGAAAGACTCTTGTATTGGCCCTGTAAGTAGCTCTTTTCTTGTACTCAAGAACCTTTCCAGACCTTCCCAAAATATCTCCGATAGCTGTGGTGCATGCCTACCGAACATAATTTCCATGTCACTCCAGCGAGCGGGAGTGCTCATTCGTCTCAAGATTATACACGTCACCAACATCGGATTGCACGAGTACCTGTTGCGTGTAGTAGTACCTTTAAAAGGAGACCACGCTATTGCTTCAACCATTTGAATTAGATGTTCTTTTCTAAATCTAAATAGACGCAGACAATCCAGTTCGGTTAAGGAGTTGAGCTTGAAAGAGAAATTTGACAAAGAGATACGGTTAGCTCGTAAAATGAATCGTTGACCCTCTACTGAATGACTCTGATACTCTTCCAATGCTTGTAATAGGACATTTGAAAGTGAAACGCTGTTGTTACGGCTAGCCTGACGCCCCCGCATTAACACATAGGCAGCAACTTCCCATGTCTGCTTCCTGATTGCCGTCGGCGCGTAGGAGTGGTCTCTCTGACGTCCTAGACTCATGTTTTTGTGCAGTACCTATTCTACTTGTCATTACGACTTTTGAGCCTTTTATGCTAATACTGGGCGACTCCGAAAAACATAAAAACACATTTTGTGTATGCGCAAATCTGCCGATTTTGATTGAGTCGGAGGTGTTTGTGCATACACAAACCGCCGATTTGCTCTTCGTTCCCCTCCCGATGTAATTGTTTGTGCACAGACACAAACGCACATCCGCACCCACCTATACCACCCTATATCATACCATGTGCTCAAATATTTCTCTGCGATCTGTCCGATCAACCCATCCCACCCCTCGGCAACCTCATTCCTATTTCGATCTGGCCTCCCTCCACACTTTCCCTCCGTCGTATCAGCCGCTGTCCAACCCCGCAGCCCAACGTCTACATGGCTCATGTTGCCGACTCCGACGAGGAGCCGGCACCCGATATTTGTCCCCAAGCCGGCGGCTCCTTCGTCAGTATCATAGGATAGGGCGTGAAGGGGGTACCGCAATCCGTCCGCCGGCGTGCTGACACCTCACTGAGGGTGAATTGGCATTAAATGTGTCTTACACAAATTTTTGTTCACATGCATTTCCGTGCCAAGGCACAAAATACGACACACATACACAAGGAAATTTGTGTGTACACAATTTATGTTTTTCGGAGTCGCCCACTCACAACTGTAACGGATAGTCGTTTTGCGTAATGCACATCTTTTACATAAAATTTGCTTTTCAGGAAAGCACTTTTCTGGAATTGGAAATCTAAAAAATTGTGAAATCCTTTTCTGAAAAGCTGATTGCGTAAACCCACAATTAAGTTAAACAAACGGCATACACCGATGCTGTAAGTAGAGAGACATACTGTACGCTACATTTCACGCTTTTTACACTACAATATTGTACAGTCAACGGCTTCACAGAAATGGCACGTGTGCGTGCACAATTGGCCGCCCGGGAACTGAATCCAGTGATGCATGCATGCATCTCTAGCTCCTCCCCACAAACACCTGCGCCCCCTCCGGGTTCGCCCCCTCAGACCACTGATACTGTACCCGCCCAATCTCAAGGGTCGCACTCCACTCCATGACCTCCCTTCCACGCACCCGAGCCGAGCTGATTCCCTACAAAGCGTCTCCCGGAGTTTCTCCCACGCCAGGCCTTGCCCCTCCCCCGCCCCGCCCCCCATCTTACCGTCGCCCATCCCCACCGCCAGCAACTATGTCCGGCTACAAGCGCGACCCGTACGAACCCGGCGCGCCGGCGGGCGGGCACAGGCGGGATCCGTACGACACGCCCGCGCCCGCGCCTGCCTACGACCCCTATGCCCGCGCGTCGCGCCCCGCGGCCGACGGCTACGTGCCCTCGCGCGAGCACCCCGCCGACCCGTACGCCCCTTCCGACCCGTACGCAAGCCACAAGCGCGCGCCAGGGTACGACGACTACGCGCGCGAGCCCAAGCGCTCCCGCTACGAGGACGCTCACGCCGACGGAGAGTATTCGCACCGCTATAGACAGTCGCAGGACCACTACGCTGACAGAAGGGACGACAGGTATCAGCAGTCATCGTCGGACTATTATGGTAAGAGGGATGCCTACGCCCAGTATGATCGCAGGAGCGCGGGGTATGCCGCCTATGGACAGGCGGGCGCGGAGTATTCGCGCGATGGGTACGACCGCGGGTCTGCTGGCGCGTATAGTAGAGGAGGAGGGAGGGATGATTACGGAAGGGGCGGGTACGATCGAGGGGGATATAGGCGACCAGGTGCTCATGATCGTCGGGATGATGCTGCTTATGGGGATGCTGGTTCCGCCTGGTATGGTGCTTCTGCGAGTAGAGGTGCGTATGGAGGAGGTTCCAGTTACGACCGTGCCGGATACGACAGCCGGGGGGGATACGATGGTGGCCGTAGAGGCTATGAAAATGGCCGTGGGGGATACGATCGTGGCCATAGAGGCTATGACAATGGCCGTGGAGGATATGACGGTGGCCAAAGAGGGTATGACGATGGCTATGGCGGATATGACGGCGCCCGTGGAGGCTATAACAGTGGCCGTGGAGGCTATAACAGCGGTCGTGGAGGCTATAATGGTGCCCGCGGTGACTACGGTGGACGTGGCGGCTATGACGGCGGCCGAGGCCGTGGCCGTGGTCGTGGCGGGAGGGGACGCGGGCGCGGACGCGGACGAGGCGGTGCCCGTGGTGGGGAGAGAGAGAAGCCCCCGCAGTACATCGTCGACTGGGACGAGCATCTCGCCGAGCTGGAAGAGAGAAACTTCAAGGAGCCCATGATAGACAACCGTCAGGAGGGTGTCGAGTTTCAAGCCTCCAATATCGACAAGCTGTTCGACGCCCCAGAGGAGGAGACCGTCCCCATGGCGCTTGTGCGTGAAGATGACGTCGACCCTGACGAGGAGCTGTGCTCCATCGCCGTGTCGGGCTTCCCCAAGGAGGCCAGTATGGACAAACTGATAGACTACTTTTCCAACCTGGCCGTGTTGCGAAGGGAGCCGGTCAAGAAAGAAGACGGCAGCATTCACGTCACCTTTCAGAAGGCCAAGGATGTGCCGTTTGCTGTCGAGTGGTTTAAGAACCCAGCAAGAGCGGTGATTGATAATCGCCTCGTTTCCGTCACCGCTGTCAAGCCTGCTGCGTAAGTACTGTTGCTTTGCATGTTTTCTTGTTCCTATTTTTTTTTGTTGACGTGCTCAATGTGAGAAAGCCGATTGAGAACTGGGGGCAATTGAGTGACATCAATGGAGGAATGATTCTCGGCAACACGCAGATGTGCCACATGAAAGAGAGACGCCATTCGAAAATTCCAATTGAAGCCACATTTGAAGTAGCATCATACTCTAGGGCAGCCGGCAAATTGCAAGAAGCAAAAAAAGGCGAAAGGGGGCACATCTGCATGAGATGCACATGAATGGCAATGCCGAAATGCGAACGTTATAAAAAGATGAACACATGAATGAAAATACCCGTTGCTGGAAGAGCTCGGGTCACGCGAGGAGCATGCGTGAGAGGGGTAGGGACCCTCAGTCCGTAACATCTTCTACACTGCAGCAGAACAGTGTCTCACGCTTTCCGATACCACGAATGCCAAACACATGGATCCCCTTGTTGCTCCGGTTGCCCCTATGCCCTTGTTGCAGTGCACCCCACGCCTCTTACCAAATTGCGAGCTCATAGCATGGAAATGAGCCTCGAAGTTGTCAGCAGCAGACAATTGCAAATGCCACACCCACAATTCCACTTATTTTGTCATACTTTTCGACCTCAACGAGGACTAATGCGCTGTGCCGTTCGTAAGGGCGGTCCATGCATTTTGAAGCTGACGCATGAGGATCCATCAGCTTCAGCTTCACGAGAACGAAAACATTGATTTTGAATCTCATTTCAGCTCATTCAGAAAACAACTCTACATGCCAACTCGTACCAGCAGACATGAATCCGAGGTGGTGTTCACCAGCACATGGCAAAGCTGCGAACAGCTTTTCGTTTTGCCATTGTGGCAAATTACTCTGTACGTTCACAAAACTGCGGTTCCAGACTTCGCGCAATTTGTTCAGCAGGAAACTGCCTACGCCCGACTTTTCAGGTTGTTTCCATCTCCTGCTCTTACAATGTTTGAATAGAATTCCAAGAGTAAGGAGCGCGTGTAGTGAGCAATAGAAGTAGATATTAAGCACTGTGCGCTATCGCCCATTAATACAATGCGAAGCGGGAACCGTCATAGATCAGCGCGATTATACAGAAATAGTGGTAGATCATACAAAATTCTCCTGATCATAATTTTGTGTCTTGTCGATCTTGAAGCACTTTTTTGTGTCAACCTCTGCCGAATGCCTTTCGCTTTTATCCTCTGCTGACGTGCCGCATAACGGATTTTAATTTTAACACGCAGTCCACCTGAACTCGGCGCATCCGTTGCACGGACCATCGCCATGTCAACGATATCCGAGCCAATCTTGTCAGTAGCCTAATCAAAGAGAATAGCAGCCTTTCTATCTATCCCCCGCATCTCACTTGAGTTGAGGCCAAGTCTTTAGATCATAGGGGATTTAAATTCGTGTCTCTGTTTTATTATGGAAATGTGAAGTCGTTTTGCTCTTCCGGTAATAGATCATCTCCGGGAAATCAACGACAGGAACTATGAAAGAAGCTCTGTAGTTGTTAACGCAGTATAAAAACAATGGAATTAGCAAGAGAAATGGACATTTGGTGCACAGTGCTAGTTTCAACCTAATCGCTCGACCGACACGGTATTCCCGTTCGGTGTGTGAATTCAAATGCCAACACCAGCCTTGGAGATAGGCAGAGTGCAAGAATCGGATTATTCTAGTTGGAAGAAAGAACAAGAGAATTGGGGGGTTTCTCTGTCTCTGTCTTTCACAGCAGTTTGTGCGAGTAACTATTTAGTCCTGTCTTCCCCCATCGAAATACATGCACTCTCCAATGATTTGACGTCAGAGCCTCATACTCCAAGCGGTGATCCAAATGTACAGCGGGAATGTATGAATGCCACGAGCCTAGTGTCTAGACGACAAGCGACCTCATATGAAGCTCCTTTTCAACTTCTTTTTCTCGACTTGTGCATGCTCAACAAGAAGGAAAAAGACACTCTCGCCACTGCAGTTGAATTCTGTGTTGCGGAAGGATGGAGTTTGGTCAGATCTGCACGTCTTTTCCACCCATTTTAAGAATGCCTAAAAAAGAAGCCATTTGACCAACCCCAAAACGTTATGTGTTGATATCTTGGAAACGCAAACGCCTATCTAAAATGTCAACCGGGCATTGGAGCTTTATCGGATTCTTATTCTTTCAATGTATTCATAACTGCTATTCCAATGATTTGCAAGATGTCATTGTCGAGGGCATGTACGTTAAAGAAATGGCGTCCAAACTGAGTTTACAAAGTTCGATTTAATATATACATTTTTGCAAAAACAACTGGCCTCATATGAGGCCATGCCTGACCTTTCATGAGGGAAATCGCTTGTCGTCTATAGTGTCCATCGGACCGTTAGTCCTCATATGAGAACAAAGGTTATTTATTTTTTGCTAGACAACGCAAGTTTTGATTTCACTTCTGTTTTTTTGTAGCCAGAAGGCCATCTACAGGTAAAGCAATTGTTTGTCAATTCTAGCGAAAAACAACTCATTGATGCACAGTTTTCTTTAAGCTAATTTTAATTTTATACCAGTTTCATAGAAACATGTCCTTGAGTGCTTTCTATTCGGTTCTCACTCAGAAAAATATAAAACGAGTCAACCTACCAAAGAAAAATAGAAAGCGTGGACATCAAGTTGAAAAAGAAATAAAATTCGCAGATTTGTATGTTATGATAACGCTTGATGGGATAGACACCAGCTAACTAGTCTAGACCAAGCGTTATCATTTTCTGAAGTGAGAACTGAATAGAAAGCCCTCAAGACCATTTTCTATGCTGCTTAAAGAAAAATGTTTACTGTAAATCGATTTTTTCTCTTGAACACCTTGATGTGCACAAATGCGTTGGTTTTCGCTAGAATTGACAAACAATTGCTTTACCTGTGATGGCCTTCTGCTTGCAAAAAAAAAAAAAAAAAAAGTGAAATCGCACCTTGCGTTGTCCAGAAAAAATAAAACAACTTTTGTCCTCATATGGGGACTAGCAGTCCTATAGACAATAGTAGAGTGATACTCGGGACCCCACTGCTTTGCTATTTCAAATGGAGATGTCATTCGACATCTCGATTTTAGTCACGTTTACTTGATCCAATTTCACCATTATATGACTGGCTATTAAACTATGATTTCAATATTCAATTTGTCTCCATAAGATAGGGCTTGTTATCTCATACAATCGCCTTGTCCGCGTTCTAGAAATGTAGTGGGTACTTTACTCCCCATCTAGCATTGATTTCCGGTGTGGGGGAAAGTAACCGTGTGTGGTCCTATGCCATCCTTGGCGCGGATGGAGGGGTCAGTCAGTTCCGGAGTACACACAGTACCAAGGGTACAGTATGTCCATACAAAGTAAAAAAATAAATGACGTGCATACCGTGTTTGTCTCCCCTACGCTGCAGAAGCCCTCGCACGTTTAGCGGCATTTCTGATGATATAATTTGGGAGCTTACGCTACACGACAATTCTGTGAAAATCCTTTCAAATATTATGCACACGTGTACCAAAAACCTGTCCACTATTTCGCTCATGATGTATTGTGGTAACAAACGCCGCAGATCAGCATGGGAGTAGTACAGTCAACCCCTTTCAAAACTATGAGGCAAAAAGACTACTCTCTCACCAAATGCAGAGAAAGAGCGTCGCTCTTTCGTGCTGCACTGGCGGTTATTGCTAAGCGACATGTCACACACACCCGCTCACGTTCCGCATTTACATCAAAGCCCGCTTTTGTCTGTGTCGCATGGCGATACGTTGCAGCACAACGTCAGGTTCAATTTTTGTTAGACAGGTCAAACCGTATCTCTACTACTAAATTTTGGTTCAACTTCAATCGTTTTGGAGACCGCGAAGCCTTACAGGACTTCCGCTTTCGGGTTGAAGACATCAAAAAGATAGTACCCATTGTAGGGTGGCCTTCATCTCAACATCACACTACTCGTAACAGGTATGGTGTCAATCCGGTGCTTGCCACATGCATAATCCTCAGACGCATGGCCGTGCCCGACCGTTGGGAAGATCTGGCATATTTATTCGGAAAACATCCCTCCCAGATGTCGGAAATATTCTGGGAAGGGATGGAAACATTTGTGCAGGGGCAAGGGCATTTGTTGATGGGGCCTGTTCCACAGCAGTACATGGACAAAAGAGCTCAAGACTTTAGCCAAGCCATCAGTGATAAAGGAGCAGCAATGCAGAATTGTGTAGGGTTTATTGACGGTACAGTGGTTGGCGTAGCCCGACCTAAGGGCTACATGCGGCAGCTCGTAGTATACAACGGGCACAAAAGGAAGCATTCATTAAAGTATCAGGCAGTCAACACGCCCGATGGGATGATACTGCACGCGTATGGCCCTGCCGAGGGTCGTCGTCATGACTGGTTCCTTTACGCAGCAAGCGGTTTGGAATCTAACATGGGTGAGATTCTGGTTCTGAATGGTACGCAGTACAAGATCTACGATGATTCAGGCTACAACTGGCGCGTCTTTATGGAGGTCCCCTTTCAAGGAAGTGCGCTCAATACGCACCAGACAGCTTTCAACAGCTCCATGTCGGGAGTGCGTATTACGGTAGAATGGATTTTCAAGGAACTCAAAATGTATTTTCCGATTATTGACACGAAGCGCAAGATGAAGCTGTGTGAGTCACCGGTCGGGCTTCTCTACCTCGGAACTATGCTGATGTGCAACTTTCGAAACTGCCTGTACCCCAACCAGATATCCGAATACTTCAAGGTCCGCCCAAGCACGTTAGATGAATACATTCGGGAGAGGGGTGGGCTTCTTGAGGAGTGAAGAACAAAGTCTTTTCCCGGCGAGCCGTAGGCGAGCGAAAGGGAAAAGCCCCGCAGGGAAACTCCAGCGTTTATTAAAGCTGCATTAATACGAGAAGCTCCAACTTACCTCATCCCATCTTCTCCCTTAACATGTCAAACATAATCTTAAACTTCTCCAGCTCTAGCTTTTGTCCATCCTCACGCTCTTTCCGTCGCTCTTCACGTTCCTTCTCCCGCTCTTCCAGCTCTTTCGCATACTTTTCCTTCTGGAAGGACAGTTGATCCACCTCAAGCTGAATCCGGGCCAGATCCGCTTCCTTCAACTGCGCACCGAACATTTCCAGCTCTCCACTAACGTCCGCGATACCTGTCTGGCGCGTCTTCCGTCTCTTCATCGCGCTGTTCCCACCCACATTACCTCCTCCGCTGCTCCCACCACTGCTACTTGCCTCAACTTCATCACCTGAGATGCTTCTCTTCGATTTCTGACAAAGTGCCATTTCGACAACGCGTCTGCCCATAATCTCCTTCTCCTCTTCTCGCTTGGTCTTCTCATTCTTATCGGCTTTCTTCTCGGTAAGAAACGTATCCCTCTCTTCTCGCATTTGGGATAGGGCTTGATAAAGATCTCCCATCTCCCCTCCCGTAATCCCGGACAGACTGCTGTTTCTTCTATCGTCCGCGTCGAAGTCCTCCTGTAGTCGCTTGTATCTATCTTGTACTGCTTTCCAGTTCACCTTTTGCATCATGTGAGGGTTCTGATTTACCCTTTGAGCCACACTTTCGAACGACTGCTTCACGTTGCCGTAACCAGCGACATGTGCCCGTAAAGCGGCCACTTCACGAACGATTATTAGGTCCTCCTCCGGGAGATACTTCCCTCGTTTCCTAACACCTCGCGATCCATCATCGTTGCCGCTCACGTCCAAAACCTCTGCCATCTCACTGAACGGTTGATGGTCTGCTAACCGGTACCGATCCTGCACCAAGAAAAGCAACTGTACCTACAAATTGCGCAAAAACGTAAACACACTTGTCTTGAAATTTAGACAGAATTGTCGTGAGCAACAAGTCACTATTCCGCCTCTCTGCTCACGTCGAGACCCAGAATTCTGTGAGCACTGAAAGCGCTGTAATGTTTTGCGCGATTTTTCACTCATATTTCTCTCATGAACGGCAGCGTAAGCTCCCTAATGCTGATGAACTCCATGCAGAACCAGCCGTTTCAAAGTCATCCAAAAGCAACTCGGCTCTCTTCCTTCGTTTAAATCTCTCGCACGCTTTTCTTTCACCGTCGAACTCGGAATCGCTTGTCAGAAAACAGGTTGAATGTAAATATTCAAATTCATCGCTTCGTTAGTGCTCTTGATAGTGACGCTCGGGGCTGCACCCTTAGATGAGGTGGCCATGCCTGCATTGGACGAAGCAGACAAAGGCAAGGTTATGGAAAGTTGTGAGCGTAGCGACGGTCTAATTGCTGAACTCAGGACGGGCACACCGACCTTATTTTCTACTTGGCACGAGAATCTTTGTGTGTGACTCTGTCGGGTTGAGTGCAGAACGGCGTGAACGATCGTGCACTTTTGAGCCTGCTGTAAGCCCATCAAGCAGAGAGGTGGTCCCACCTCTGCTATGATATCGTTCAGCAAATTCCTGTTCCCAGGAACAGGAATTTGCTGAACGATATCATAACAACGCCTTGCATGCTGTACACATGTAAATTTACGGTAGTTGCAGTAATTTTTCTATGAAACGTAAAAGTGCGGGAAACGTGAGGTGGCAGCCTCTCATAGCTTCACTGAATACAGTAAAAAGGAAACGAGAAAAAAAGGGCCGAAAAAGGTTGCTTGAACAACCCAATCGGGGCAATGAAAGGGGTATATCTCTTCGTGATCTTGAACTGTGGACCATTCGCCCCCCAAATTTCATTGCAGCCCACAGGCAGATTCACCTGACCGGCTCCGAAAGGCCCTGTCAGCCCGGATCAAACTGTTCCCCAGCCCCTAAAGGGCCGTCATCTGCCGCCCCCACCCCGCATTGATCCGGTTCACTATTCAACACAAAGCATATTTAAATCGTCATTCGTTCCTCCGCTACCGCCCTGCGTTGCGCCCCCTTGCGTCCCGTGGCCACTTCACCCCCCCCCCCGCCGCCTTCCTCCTCACGCCTCACTCCACCAGACGCCTCACCACCTTCTCTCCCACGATGTCCAACTACCGCCGGGACCCCTACGAATCGGCAGCCAGCTACGACCCGTACGCGCGCCAATCGGATCCGTATGCCAGCCAATCTCGATCGTACGCATCCGATCCGTACGCTGAGCAAGCCGCCGATCCGTACGCGAAGCGCCGCTCGGAGTACGACGACCCCAGTCGTGACGCCAAGCGAGGCCGCTACGACGAGCCTTCCCGCGCCGATCCCTACGCGGATCGCTACGCCTCTTCATCCGCACAGGACCCCTACGCCGCCGATCGCAGGGGCGGCGACACCCGCGCCCAGGGTGATTACTATAGCCATCGTGACAGCTATGGCCATAGTGATCGCAGGAGCAGCGGCGGTGGTTACAGTGGCTACGGACAAGGAGGTGGTGACTACGCTCGGAGGGATGACTACAGCCGCGGATATGGCGGCAGTAGTGGTGGTCGCGATAGCTATGGCCGCGGAGGAAGTGGCTACGATCGCGGTAGCTATAGCCGTGGCGGATATGACAACTCCGCCGGCTACGATCGCCGCGAGAGTGGCGGCTATGGCAACAGCGGGTACGGCGCGGGTGGCGGTGGCCACGCCGCTTCTGACGGCAGGGGCGGGTATGGCAGTGGTGGAGGATACAGTGGAGGCGGCGGATACGGCGGTGGGCGGGGATACGATCGTGGCGGGTACGATGGTGTCCGCGGTGGCTACGGTAGTAGCCGCGGTGGATATGAAGGCAGCCGTGGTGGCTATGATGGCGGCCGAGGCGGCTATGATGGCGGCCGAGGCAACCATGATGGTTTCCGCGGCCGTGGACGCGGCCGTGGACGCGGCAGAGGCAGGGGCAGGGGCCGTGGTGGCCGCGGAGGTGGCCGTGGGGCGGAGAGAGAGAAAGATCCCGCCTACATCGTCGACTGGAATGATCATCTTGCCGAGCTGGAAGAGAAGAACTTTAGGGCTCCGGATAAGGACAACCGCCAGGATGGCGATGAGTTTGTTGACGCAGGAGCTGAGAAGCTGTTTGATCCCGCCGATGAGCAGACGCTGCCAGTCGGTGCCGCTCCATCGGATGACGTTGACCCGGATGAGGAGCAGTGCACTGTCAAAGTGTCTGGATTCCCGAACGATGGCAACATGGATAAGCTCAAGGACTACTTTTCTTCGATGGGCGTTCTGCGCAAGGAGCCAGTTCTCGGTGACGACGGTGATATCCGTGTTGCGTTCACGAAGGCGAAAGACGTCCCGTTTACCGTTGACTGGTTCAAGAACCCAGCTAAGGCCGTCATTGATCAGAGATTTGTATCTGTTGCGCCGGTCAAGCCTGTCGCTTAGGTAAGGAGGTCAGGGCCCGTTTCCAGGAACCAAGATCTTTTCTCATGGTGCGACAATTTAGGGAGTTTTCTACCGGCGAAATTCATGAAGGATAGACGCAGAACACAGCGGTATGAACGGAGTCGGGTCACGGATGCCTGCCATCAGCTCCAGTAGTGTTTTGGTTTGATTACGTGATTGCCAGTTGGAAAGCTGTATGTCAAGAATTTGCGCACTGGAGACCAAGGGCTGCCAGTCAAAGTGTTGTTTTCATTGTGCCCTCATCACTAAAGTGTTGCATCCCAGTCGAAGCGCATTGCATATCAACTGTGCTGCTCGTGAGCAGCGAACGAGATTAATCTCAGCTTGATCATGGCGTAGCGCTCCGGAGTTTCCTTCGAAAACGCACCGCTGTCGCATTCTCGTTGTGGTGATGGGAGGTCCTACCTCGCCTTATAACATACGTGCACTTGCTTCCTCACCACTTTTTTTGTTCTAATGGCGTTGTTTTGATTGCTCCTTACCAGTCGCTATCGGACTGGGGCCTGTCGTATGCGGAAACTACATTTTTTTGTAACAGCATATACGATAGACTGTAAATTGAGAAAGTCATTTTGGACACCATCTCCTGAACGTAATTGTCCTGGGCAAAAACAACTTACGGAACACCGGAATAGCAGATTTGAGGACATTGAAGGACTATAATGCTAATACAAATTATGTATTCAGCTGTCTTTTTAAAGTGGCGTTTTTGGTTTCAAAGTTACTTTACATGCGGTCTCAATGTTGCTTTGAAAAGCTTCTGCTTCGGGCATATCTAAAACGACCGGGAAGGACACGAAGTTCTCACTATTATCTTTCCTTCTACAAGGCGGAAGTCATGTACGCTGTCCAGGGTATCTTTCTCCTTCTTGTCGAGAAAACGCAAGTCCAGGAGAAATATGTTGAAAATTGACCTCATACGAGGTCATCGGTCGGAAAGACAATGTGGTTACCCTCCCGCTTTGGTGGCGGAAGAATGAGGTTGGGCTGATTCCACCGGTTTGAGAGATTGGTCTGGCTCGATTGGTACCTCTATTTCGTTGGTCTCTGCAGTTTTTGTGGAGGCTTCTTGCAGGAGAGGTTGTAATGGTGTCATGGCGGTTTGTGGAAGAATTCCGTCGTCTTCAGTTTGTACTCGATTGAGTGCACCGACTTCCCTTCTGGCTTTCATGTAGTGTTCTTCGTCGGTCTGCACCCCTTCTAATTCCGTTCGGTTGTAGGCTTTGCTACCCATGTCATCCCTTTTTCCGAGCTTCATGACCGTATCTAAATTAAACAAACCACCTTCCCCTGTGACAGACGCGAACAGAAGAACAAAAGATAGGACCAAGCTAAACCAGGAGAAATTCACAGCAGGGATGTTTCCAAGTCCAGTCCTAACTGACGAGACTAGCCCAGCACAAACTGAGAATAAAACCAGTAACGAAAAAGAGGACACGGTTTCAACCAAACCGAGAGACGTTGGTGCCGCCAGTGTTTTTGCAAACATAATTAGAGAGAGAATAGCACCAGCAACTGCGAGAACGATGATCCATATAAATCTAGCTGGACAGCTGTCCGCATAATCACAAATCTCTGCGACATTTCCAAATACAACCATAGATGCCAAAGCCAGAAGCCCATATATTAGCGAGCGGGCTCTTGGTGTGTTGATAGATACGTTTTCGAAACCCTTCATTTTGCGATTAAAAGTTAAGGCCTTGTAGCCAATATGGCAGCCTTTCAGCTCGAATGTCCCTGAGCGCTTTCAAAGGAAGAACTTGACTATCCCGGCGAGCCAGAACAAATGAATATTTGAGATGGTGGTGTGTGAGGTGTGGGAGAGAGTGCTGCTGTAACAACCGATCCTCTTAAGAAGTCAAAATAGGAATGGTACATCACATTTGGGTAATTGTCAAGAGAGACTCTTTCAAGGTTTAGCCCCATACTTACTTGACAAGAACACCGCTCGTTTTACTTTAGACGAAGCCACATGGTCTACAGAATCGTTTGAAGTGAAGACGTTTTTGTGAGGGCTGAGATGTCAGCATATGATTATTGGTCCAGTTTCTGAGACTTTGTCGGGCTCTATGCCTCTGTAAAAACTTCACATAGAACATGTTGTTTCTCACCCATAACTGAAATGCGACTTTAAAACACCACCCAGGTCATTCTTTTTTCTCTTGGCCGGAGAGACCAATTCCTAGACTCAAAGACTATTGTCAATATCCTTGATTGGTAGCACCGGAGTAGGACTCCTCGCTTTAATTACATTCATTAATGATCTGGAGGGGAGACACATATGATGCACCATGTATATTGGGGGGTTTAGGGGATTAGGGGTTTAAGGGTTTAAACTGTAGGAGCTGTGATTCGATGCGCGAGAACGAAGGTATCAAAACGGTTTCCATTTATGCCGGGCCAGTGGCATGCCTTGATCAGGCAGAACACCACACTCCAGGTCATTGCGTACCGCTCTCGCGATGGATGTTGAAGTGGTTATTGGATCATGTCATCCTGCTTCCGACCCTCGAACATGTATTCGTGGTGCTGGTGACCAAGCGCGGCCCGTGAATTCCGGTTGAGAACCTTGCTGTAGATGAAATAGCGGGATGTCTTGTAACCTCACATTAGCCAAAATTCTTTGGCCGGCTCTCGGCGACATTGCTTGGTCAAAGGACTTTTGCTTTTGCCCCACAGGATTGTCTTGAACGTTGCCCTGGCGTAACTCTGGTGGGTACATATATTTTGCACGAAATTTCGTCCCTGAACACCTAACACATGCGACATACGCCTTCGTTCCAGTAGGGAATTGTATTGGTTCATGGGCAACGAAGATAAATGATCGTGCTATCGTGTGCTCATCACATCTGTCCTCGCCGCATAGAAACACGTGATTTAAACGGATCACCTCAACAGCCGATGCCGCCCACACTTGCCAGGTGATGAACTCTACAATCTTTTCAAAATGTTCGACTGAATGCTATGATGCTAGTTGGTGAGTGAAACTACAATAGTCTTAGTTGTAATGTATTCTCGCTCCTTCTCAGGAGCTAATTACGTACTGAGCGATGGGAAGAGTCGTACTGACGAAGGGGCTCCTGGGTTTAGTCAAAGCCGCCAACGTTTGCCCTGCATTGATGCGCAAATACATTCAATTTCTTTTCGAGGGGCTGTGAATGAGAAAGCGGGAGACAGGGCGTATCAACATCTTCCAGAGGAGAGTGCAATTCGTTAAGGCGAAAATAGATTTTTAAGTATCTATATCAAGCAGTAACTAGAGGCTGTCGTTGGTAAATGGTTTCGTTCTCATCCTGTCGCATCCGCCATGAGGGGAGAAATGTTGAGCCTTGGGCGAAGTGGAGGAAAGCATTTCACTATATTGTCACAGAACTTATTGTACTGCCTCAACTTTCCGTTCGACTCAACAGGTCACAGTTTTCTCACGAACATATTGCTATACATAAAAACTGAAGCATGTTGTTGGCTCAAAGGGATATTCTGCATTCCTCACCTTCAACCAAAACCTAGGTTGTTGCTGTCCTGGACAACTATCCTTTCCCACACAATAATATCAATATTGCTCTCGACTTTCTTTCAAGATACCGTAGTACAACCTAAGTGTTGTTTGTGAATATTTAACGGGGTCTAGTTCAAGAAGCGGTCAGGCAAGTGATTGACAATGCAGCTGCTTCTCTACTTCTCTACTCGTTCCGTTTTGCAGTGTATACGTGTGAAACCATCTGCGACAATTCCTCGCCCATTTTTCAATTTCCTTAAGTAACTCAAAAATTCATCCATGACAACCAGGTTCACTACAAAACTTGCGGGCGTGCCTGGACAATGTAAATCCGGTTCGTTGTGTCATCTGCTGTGATCGCTCCCTCTACATCCTGTGGGCCTCCAAATTCTTCTTCAAGAAGAACAATGGTCTTGGCGATCGTCTGAACCACTTCAGTTCTAAATTCCATATTGATCGTCATTTGCTGTGTTGAATAGTCCACAGTTCGAACATGCAAACCGTCAGAATCGTCGCTCGGAACCAGTCCTTCAGAATATGAGGCAAATGAGAGGACCTCTACATCAAGTGATTTCCTATCAACTCTGAACCTGTATGGACTACCCAAAGACGACGCTGAAGCCAAAGTCTCGCCCATACCTACGGCTACCTCGATGTAGATTGCCTCGCTACTCTTTCTCACAGGATCATAACTGAAACCAACAAACGAAAAGTCTGCTGAGATCATTTCTTGAATGAGAACTGCCATAGACACTTCATCATGTGGGACACCATATGAACCTCGGCTTGATGCAGCTCGTGAAGTCCATAGACTGGCCCAAACTCGGGCAACAGCGGATTTCAGAGCATCTGTGGAACCAACTGGAACGTTCGCAATGGAATCGTATAATCCAGCACCACTCATGCCTTCGAGATCCTCTGCATTGGCACTGGAGCGCACCATTACCCTCGCACTTTTTGAGAACTCGGCTTGAACTCGTTTGCAATGATCGTTTGTCATTTCGAAATTTGTAGCGATGAAGGAAAATAGTGAATGCGCTGCATCATCATGTTTTTCGGTGTTCCCTTCATCCAAATACTGCTTTATTAAAGACAGGTACACTGTGCCATGACCCGAGCGTTGCGACTGAAAAATGCCATGTGGAAGGGCGACGCCGTTCGGAGTTTCAAAGAGCCTGTCGCTTTTCATCGCGAGTTTGCGCAGTTTCCCCACGAATGCGCACTTTGATGAGGCGTTATCCCGTGTCGCTTCTGTAATTGCAATTGGGTTCTTCACAGACCCGTCGAATGCAATATTCACAGCCCTTTTTACATTGTGACCGTTCTCTGTAACACTTTTGTTTGAATGGTTCGAGCCATCAATCGAATGTGTTCTCGCAAACGACTTCAAGCCTTCTCGATGGCTTACTTCCACGGCAGCATAGCTGAGACTTCTGTCCCTCCAAAAATTTTCGAATGCTTCGCGTTCCTCGGCGCAAACGAATACAACGCCAGCTTGTCGCGCGCGGACACCTAAGTGGGATAAATGTGGCAAGGAACGGCCGAGGACGACAGCACACACGTTTGATGGTATGTCTTCATCCCCATCGGCATATCGACAGACAGCAATCACACTATCCTCGGTTGCAGATACGTCAGACAGATTCTCCGCGAAAACGAGCTTCCCGAATGCCTCACCTGCATTCAACGGATCCCATGGCGGTAGGTTTAGACCAATCCGGCACATCTTTGTACATGCATCCGCGATTCTGCTAGCTTGGAATGTTATGTTCGACCTTATTTCAGCTTCCGCAAACACGGCCACAGCATGTCCGTCAACCCCCAGAGCTTGTCCGATTGATGTGGCTCGGCGACTGAACACGTCGCTCAGTGAACTGGAGAAGTCTTCTGCGAACCGTAGCGCCCTATCTACAGTTGCCTTGGTGCGAAGAAGATCCCTTCTTTTCGCTGGATTGGCAATTGAATTAAGTTCATTCGCTGTTGCCCTTGCTTCTGCTGGACAAACACCTGAAAGAGCAATATTCTCCAAACTGATACTCAACCCCTTGACTGCATTGTTCCAATCAAAGCGGCCTTCGGTTTGCTGTTCTGCATCTTTTGCGATACCTGCCAGTAGCATGAAAGCATACCCCTCCAAATCGATATCTGCAAGGCGTGTCCTCTGCACGTCCTCTGATGGCAGCTGGTTCTCCCCTGTTGTTTCCATGTCGACCTGCATGAGTGGGAGCTCAGCAAGTCCCTTCCTCAGGCTGGTAAGAGTTTCCATTTGTGGCATAGCTGGATACTTGCTATGTTTCTCCTTTAACATTTTCCCTGCAAGGGAAGCGAGGGCTTTTGTATTCTGATTGCCTTGTAAATAACGCAGGCGATCGTCAAGAGAAGACGCGTTAAAAAACTCCAAGAGCTCAGCATGGAAAATGGCAAACTGCTCCTTCAAACCGCCGCTAAAATCGCCATGCTGAATCCTTTCCAGTAGACGGGCGCTTGTCTGCAAGTCCTCCGGCCCGGCACAGCGATGGAGCTTATTCTGAAGCGTGTGTTTAATCTCCTGCTTGAAATCATGTGGGATATCGCCTCGGTGTGCGATATCCCTAATGCGGGTAAGAGGGACACTGGCTGTGAATTGCGGAGCGTAAGACGGCAGCTGCGGAAAGATCTTTCTGATGACGTATGGAGTGTAAGAATCCGTGCCTTTTCGTGGGGCACTCTTCGCAACGCGGGCGAGGGCGGCTTCCAACTGGCGGGCCTCGTTGGCGTGGTGGTTAGGGCGATGGTGGCCACCGTCTTCCTCGCAACGGACCTGACCAGAGGCAAGGAAAGTAAGGAAGACGGAAACGGTAGCGAGATGGTCGATGTTTTGCGGATTGAACGAGTTTTTGGAAGCCGCTGAGTCCTCCGTGAATAGAGAACGGACGAAAGAAAGGCGCTGGCGCCAGCTGCGCTTCTCGTTGGTGAGGTGGACGATGGCGCGCTCGAGGTCATCCAGCGCGACAGGGAATTTGGAGTGTCCGTTCGCAGATACGCCGTCCGAAGCCCACGGGCGTGACTGCGGAGCGGAAGGGGGGTCTTTCTGGATGCGGGCTGTTCGCACGGCGGGTATGCGGTCAAAGATGTCGTCCGTGGATGCATCGGCATCTTCCAGAGCGACCTCACGATTGACGCCCTTGGGGCCTTGTTCCCATCTAATGACGTGGCCGTCGCGGATGATGACGTACTTGTACTCGACGGAGGCGGAGGTGGGAAGCGGGACGGAGGCAGTCCATTTGGGAAATGTGTCTGCGGTGGTGGATAAGACCGCAGGGCGATGCTTATCCCAGGCGCTCCAGGACCCGATGGCGGCGACGGCCTCGCCGGGGACGGTGTCCCTGCAGGAAACGCGTAGATGTAGACTGGGCATAACGGTGGGCGCGACGGGGAGCAGGGCGCGGCGCGGTGGATGAGGGCTGATGGGAGGGAGGATAAGTCTTGAGGTGCAAGGCTGGAGGAGGTCGAAGTGATTGGCGGGATCAAATCGCGATTCCGCCTCCCCTCAAAGCACCGAAAAAATGTGAGGAGCTCTCTCTTTCAATATAAACCTTTCCCTCACTGTACCCAAGGGTACGTGTAAGCCATTCTCCCAACCCTTATTGCGCCTTTATCAGCTGCCACCCCCGCCGTATCGCCGCAAGACCTTCTCTGTTGTACTCCCCCATCCAATGCATCGCATCTCCCCTCGCGTTCCGCCGTGATGACATGGGAGACCCTGTCCGGCCTCACGCGATGGACAATCATCGGCGTTTCCATCTTCTTGACCATCGTGCTCGTCGTCCTTCTGTACCTTCTCTTCCGCTGCCTCCGCCGCCGCTCCCGCGGAGACCACTCCAACTCGCAGTATTATAAGTTCGAGGATGACGTCGCCGCGGCCCAGCTCGCCGCCGACCGCCACGAGAAGTCAGTCCGAGAAGCTTCGCACAGGGAACGCAGAATCCACCACTCCAGCTCTGTCGCAAGCACAGAAGATGCCATCGCCGCCCCGAGGGCTGAACTCGAGGATGTGCCCAGCTCTGGTGTCGCCTTTCTCGATGACTACGGACGCCCTATTGCTTCCCCCATCTCGAGGAGATAGCCCGCAGTATGTCTCATCGCGACACAAACCATCCCTCCAGACAAGCCCTTACAAGTGCATCCACCTTCGCTTTGTACCAACACAAGTAGCCTAGTTTAAACATTGTAATCTGGTCGCAGCAGCAGCCTGCCTCGACGCCCCTCTTCACGAGTTACTTACAAAAGTCTTGCTCCAACCTCAACGCCATCACCAACGCCAGCCAAGTGGCGCACGCAGTGATCCCCACCCCTGTGGCCCCTCCCAATATTACTGTCATGATCCCGTCCTTGCCTTCCATTGTCAACATGCCCGCTCTCGCTTTACCAATTTGCATTTCCCGCACCTTCAGTTTCTCTCCCCCAAGCAATGTCGCGGCTACTTGTGATCTTACGGGGGCCATCGAATCCTCTCCTCTGCACCTTCCTCGCCCAACTGCCTGGTCCAACCGCCCTTTCACCAATTTTCAGCGACTTTGGAACGTGGAGCATTCCCTGTAACCCCCTCTTGGCCCCATGGCTACATTTTCTGCGCCTGTGCGATGAAATTCTACGTCAACGTTCTCGAGGCCCACGCATTCACCCCTATATCTACGTTATTTCACACAAGGGTCACCGTCATGCCTGCACCAATCGTGCCCGCATAGAAGCAGGTCTCCGTGCGGACTCGTGCGCAGAATGAGGCGAAGTTGAGATTGAGAGGCCAGCAGTATCGCCGTGCGTCGCAGTATTAAGTTGCAGTGGAGGTTGAGAGCATGCAGCTTTGTCTGAATGTACACAAAAACTCAAACATGATTACTTCTCGTCTCAAGTTGATACTCGCTTTGTGTTTAACTGCTGCTTTATGGGAACTCAGCCCGGCCACTGTCGTGGAAACCGCCACCACCGTCGGAAATGCTTCCACTTTGCCGACATCATCAGGGCGTTTTCTTTTCTGGGAGACTTGCCAAGACCAGTGGAACGAAGAAAACAAGATAACGGAAAAATGCTGCAAGGGCAATTACAAATGCTCCGACAAGTTGTGCGAAGGGAATGAGCTTTGCAAGTTTGCGTTTGGTTTTATGAAGAATACTTTATGGTGCCACGTTCAAAAGTGCAAAAAGATGGAGGGAGACAAGGATGACGGCAAGGACAAGGACGAGGACAAGGAAGAGGACAAGGAAGAGGACGAGGACAAGGAAGAGGGTAAGGGCAAGGGCAAGGGCAAAGGCAAGGGCAAGGGCAAGGGTAAAGGCAAGGGTAAAGGCAAGGGTAAAGGCAAGGGGAAAGGCAAGGGTAAGGGGAAAGGAACGGGCAAGGATAAGGATTCCAAAGAAAATGACAAGAGCGCTAAAGACGAAGAGGATGAACCCATGCCCTCTGTTGAGATCGATTCTAAGGACGGCGATAGCGACTCAGGTGTTGACCAAGACGAAGGCAATAAGGGCAATGATTCCACACCTGCACCAACTGCATCACCATCACCGTCTCCACAGAGTAGTGATCCTCTGCATTGCAACGGCATTCGAAACCGCCGCGAAATCCGAGATATGACAACCCAACAACGGCTGGAATGGCAGGAGGCAATCCTCGCCCTGCGCGCAGGCCGCGATACAAGTGGGGATAGTGAATGGGACCGTCTTGTACGCCTGCACATAAGTTTCGGGGATGAAGCACATGGTGGTGCCTACTTTCTCCCGTGGCACAGGCTATTCTTGTTGCGTGTAGAGAATGCTCTGCGCAAAATTAATCCGAGCATTGCAATTCCATATTGGGACTGGACTCAGGACGCTGAGGATGCCGCTAGATCTCCTGTGTGGGGTGCTGGATATGTCGGTGGAGCCCAGCGTGGCAATCGACCCATTCAGACTGGACCCTTCGCAAACATAGATGCCAAGCACCCGGTCGCACATATAGTGAGAAGAAATTTTACTTCAGGCACTTCTCGTGAGATGCCTTTGTTATGGGGCAGGGAGCACTTAGAGCGACTGATTAACGAGCCGCTGTGGATGGACTTCGCGGATGGCATTGAGACTGCGCATGCCCTGCCACATATCTATGTCGGGGGCGATATGGGAAATGCGCATCAAGCACCGAATGATCCTGTTTTCCATATACATCATGCCTTTGTGGATTCTCTTTGGCAGATACGACAAAAGCAAGGGGATCAAAGCCAGTTTAGTGGAACACATGCTTTTAATGACGGTGCTCGTGATGCGTCTTCGACTCACATATTTGATGCATTCGGTGTTCCGGCAAGTGCAGCAATTGATCTGAGTTGCGTGAACTACGTCCTACCCAACAGACGAGGGAGATCGATTTCAGGACGCTCAACAAGAGGTACGCCGGATATGAACATATGCGAAAACCACGATAACCTTATCAAAAACCAGGAACGATGCAGAAATGGAGTTCACATTTTGGAGCGTGAAGCTAAGGCGGCATCAGCTGAAAAGGGTTCTTGAAAACTTCTACCTATTTAGGTTGATTTTCACAAGACGATTGTATAGTTTTTTTTTATACAGTGGTATCTTTTGTAGAGAGAGACCAGGCATCTATCGTATTAAATCTGCACAAATAATCATCCGAAATGTTTTAGCAAGGCTGGGCACAACGTAAAGTTGTTTCATTGTTTAACACAATGAAGTTGGTGGCGTTAGTTTACAGACATTCTGCAGTACAGATTCATTGAGAGCATCAGCGAAAGGTATTTTTCTTTCTTTCGACGAGGAGAATCACAACACTACAAGTGGATTTTCGAACGTACCGCACGTGCTTCTCGCATCAGTTTATACTATGGAGAAGGGGAGAGTGTGACATTGGTTCGAGGGGAATGTAATGTAGAACCGCAATACAGATGAAGGCATGGTGGCGCATTTGTATGTTTGCAGGACAGAATTCTTGCAGGAAAAAAGCAATGTGCAGCTAGGGTTATAAAAGGCACATCGCTGTTGCCAACCAGACGAAATCCATCAAGCTGAAGAATCGTGGAGTAACCAGCAGTGGGCTTTCAAGCTCTCCTTCTTCCCTAACATTAGCCTTGATTCCTCAAATAAAGAAGAAGAACATTCACGCCATTCCTGGTGATGTAGGCGAAGTGAGACACGTCGTCGTTGGTAGCGATGGAAGCAGGGCCATTCTGCAGCTGTACCGTACATCCGTACTGCAAGCCGGATAACACTGTTTATCACTTCCCGCACTGAGGATTCAGATGTTTCGGTGGAAACCCCCTACGCTAGGTATCCTGTATTTTCACAGAAACCAACTTTTCTCGGAACCCTTCGTCCCGGTCCATTCGTTTCAATACACTAAGTTGCAGTTCGAAGCTGTCACCCGTGAGCACGTCTTCAGCCGCGTGCAAAATAGCCGCACCCTCCGCTGCAGTGCCGTCAAATTCTTCGTCAACACCCCTGTCGCTAAGCTCGCTGTTCTTAGGAACACGAAATTTGTCTTGCCAGGCTTCATCGATGTAGTTCTTCAGCCTGTAAACCCATGTGCCTGTAAACACAAGCCCATATTTGCTTCCGATGCCTCTCCCATCGCCCGTAGATAAAAGAGACAAGAACGACTTCTGAGGTTTGAAGTGTTTCATTGCATGAGGTTCTCGACCTTCTACCATCGTGCTGATATTGTGACAAAGTACAGGACCCTCGCGCACTGCATAGACTCCTGCTTTCGGAGGGAAGTCTTCTCTAAAAGTAGCCCCGAATGATACACAATCACCCGCAGCAAACACGTTTGTTGTGCCCTTCACACGTAAGTCAGTACCGACGACCACCCATCCATGATGCAGCGGTAAATCAGTCGCTTTTGAAAGCCAACCATGAGGGGCAGCCCCCGTTGCGACAACGAGGCAATCGAAGTCAACTTCGGGCCCATCGTCCTCGAGCAGCAGTCTTCCACCTTTCTCATCAATTACCTTCACACCAACACCAAGAAGAAGACGCACGCCTCTCCTCTTCAGTTCCGCGATAGCAGCATTTCCAGCTGCGCGACCAAATGAGTCAGCAAACGATTCGTTACGAGAGACTAGTGTTACTTCGCACTCTCTCAGTGAACGTTTCAGACGCGCATCCAGTGCTAATGCTAGCTCTATCCCAGCTGGTCCACCACCTGCAACGACGACTCGTGACGTCGAGACTCTTGACTTAGCGGCAGCCTCAAATTCAGAAACTGATCCCATCAAGTCTGATATAGGGCGCGTGTATATCACGAATGGTTTGAAGTCGGTCACGGGTCTGGGTCTAAGCCCAGTGTTCCTAGAAAGAGTCGGAATTCCAGCTGTAGTTGAACCAACGTCCAGACTGAGTATATCATATCGGAGGGTTCGCTCCGCACCTCCTCCGTTCGGTAAGAAACGGATCGTTCTTGACTGTGAATCGACGTTTGTGACTCTCGCATGCAGAAAAAGGAAATCATGATGCTTTGCTAGGACTGGAAGCTCAACGTAGGCGTTTTTTTCAGGTGTGAGACCGGCCACCACCGCAGGGACCAACCCGCTATACGCAGCAGAGTGGGAATCTGAAATGAGGACGCAGCGCAATTCTCGCTTGACGGCTTGAGGAAGGGATGCAACGACTTGAATGTGAGCATGGCCGCCACCGACGAGAACGAGCAAGCGTTGAGGTTTTGTCATAGCACTTTGGTCTCTTGACGTTGCGCGGAAGCGAAGAGCTTTTTTAAGGACCAGGGCCGTGTGACTGAACTTCTTGCAACCGGACATTGCTAGTCCTTTATATCACATCTTAATTGGGTATGGGGCTGTTCTACGGAGACAGAAGGAAAGAAGAAGAGAAGAAGTATCGTACCAATGTGTTGCTCCGCCCGGGTCCTCGCTGTACATGCGAGTGGCTGTCACGAGTAACTTGGATGCGCTGCATGCGCATGGGGCCCACTCCGTCCGCATATTTCACGACAGGCGAATCACGGCCGCAGAGAAGAAATGAATTCAAGGTCCAAAATGCATGGAGAAACTCAAAATTCTCCCTTTTTTAATTCCCTTTTACACCCCGCTTTCCTCCTCACAACAACCTATCCCGCTCTCGTGATACCGGTGGCACTTGTGTGCCATGTCATGCACAGCACAACTTGTAAAACGTCACAGTCATCGTCGCAGCTACCGATAGGAAACTAAATAGAGCTGCAGACAACATTCGCGCATATCGAGTCCTTAAATCTTTTTCGAAAGGCTCTTTACAACTTTGTTTGTTCGTCACTGCCTTCTCATGATCTTTGCAGAAAACCACATCCATTACACTTACTCTCTTTGTCACCCGGCATGGATCACATACTTTTTGCGGGTTGACGTCATCAGTTGCTATTTTGCAAAAATCAATGCAAAAATGCCCAGGGCAGAAGGCTTTGCTCGTCGCGTTTGCGTCAAACTCGCATTGTTGTCTTGCAAACCCAGAGCACCCAAGTCTTAGCTCATTGTGGCAGGTATAAATTGGAGCAGATTCGACGGTACTTTGCCATAAAGTAGCGTCGTATGCACCCCCATCTTTCTGCACCCCGAATAAACCCAGTGTTGATGCTATGAACAAGGCAAAGCTAAGAATAGTGACTAGGACAAGGAGACCGTGAGTAACCATCTCCATCCAACGTCGACGAACATGAGGCGGTCTCCATATGGTAACGGCAACAGTTACTCCGAAGCAGGCACAAAGACATAGAAGAATCCCTATGGACACAAGGGCTATGCCTGAAATGTGAGATCCGGAAATTATCATGCTCTTAGATGAACCAAAGCCCACTGCCGTTCTAGGCCCAGTTTGCACTTGGTGAGATCCAATACTGAGATCAACGATTGCCAAAATCTGCATCGGAACGAAATAGACGCCAAGTTAGAAAATGCTTCAGACTTTTGGCGGTGCATTGATGCCGTTTCTGCGACCGAGAACAGAACAACTTACAAAACTGATAATATTAACAAGGATTAGAGACGGGTAGAATGGAACATAACCAAAACAACAAAGCTCTTGTTCGAATTCTCGTGCTTCTTCCACGTCCCCAGAAGAAGCGCGTATAGTTTTCCCGTCGACTCCCATTTCAAAAGGTCCTTTCGGATTGTCTGCTACGGGAGAAAAGACATGAAATGGAGACTTCTCATTTTCTTTCTCATTGCGAGCACTGTCTTTCTGATTCCGGACCTCTCGAGCATCCACTTTGGCCTGGAATTCAGGGCTAAGAGCGAGGACGGCTGGATCATAGATTGTGGACGCTGGGGGTGCTTCATCCTCACTCCCGCTTAGATTTGGAAGGTCTAGTTGTAGGTTTGGATTTTGTTGCGCCATTGCTTCTGACTGAGGTCTCTCGTAGGGTATGCTGATGGGCGAGGGAGTACTTGTTTCACGAATTGTGTTGGAAGATTTGGCTTTGGTTGGCCTCAGCAAAAACCTGAGAAGACTTGGTTCGCCGAGTCCTCGACAAAATCTTCGAGAGTGATTCCATTCAGTAAAATTTAGAGGAGAGAATAGCCAGATGGAGATGTTGTTTCTAACGTTGGAGGTACCCAAACGGTGCTGACAAATGCGACATGATTGATGTTTGACTAAAAATCTGAAGCAGACATGATCCACTTATACATTAAGGAGTAAGTACTATACTGTGAGAATATCACAGTATGAAACCTCAGGGATCGGAGTACGCTTGATAAAAGTGTTTCATAATATCTTCATGTGAAGCAAATTAGGACTGGTAAAACGTTTCCCATCCGTGCAATCATTAAGAAAATGAGAGCAATGCTTGGCCCTGTCACCTGCCTGCGGTCTCTCCACAAAGAAATCCAAATTTCAGATTGAAGATGACCAAAATCATACATCAGTGACTATCGGATATATCCGCCTTGTTTCTTTGGATTCAAGCTTTTTGCAGATTTTAGTTCGTGCTGAAACATGGAACGCCCGACCCTCGCCACATGAATAACAACCAGATGCTGTTTCTTGAGTTGTTCAGGCAACCAAGACAAATAGCAGCAATCAGTACAATTCACGAATATCGTGGATCTTCTTGAGTTCAAGGTTTAAAGTTGCGCCTCTGGCATGCAGTTGACCAGTTATATCCTATTATCTGCACCAGCTCTTTTTACATCCTCCACAGTGCCGTTGGGCTTAGTAATCTGATAGGAAGAGCGAAATATTCTCTCAATGCTTTTGAAGAGCTGTATACAGAAGTGAGATAAGTTGTACGAAAAACGGTAGAGGCGAGATAGGAGTTCATGAGGCACTTTTGTTCAAGTCTATGGTGCAAGAGATTCACATCACAAGACTTGAAAATAACCGGATGAATGCAGCACTGCTGTTCGATTTGACAAAAATTCATTCTTCCAGCGGGTTTCTTGCCTTAAATTTTCAACTCTACCTCGCACAAAAAAAGGGAGCGGGGAAATGGTGACGTCTGTTGCTCGTCGGATTCTGAAAAGACTGAAAAATGGAGGGAGACGTAGTGTCTGTTTTCTATGCGTCAAAAGCGAATTTGTTTCTTGAACAACTGATGACTTGAGCTTGTTTTTAGCCATTCTGTGAGACGAATAAAAAACGGTTGTAAAATGAAGAATGGACTGAAATCTTTGACTCGTCATTTTGACGATATCGATATTTCAAGGCTAAAGGTTTGAAGCTTTTTGTGTTCCGTCAAGTTATTTAAGGTACAAAACATAAGAACAAGTGAGAAACGTTGAAAGTATCTCAAGCTTCTATTTCTCGCCCCGACTCAGATCTGGAATTATGTTATCATTGCGATTATGATTACTGTGAAAGAATAGGAAGTATGTGAACTACAAGCGGGAAGATATGGTTTGAAAAGCTAAATGTAACTTCGCTCCGTGCCTTGGTTGGTACGTCGCGGGAATTGAACTCGGGGCGTCGCAGGCGTGCAGTGCCAATTGATTCAACATAATGTTATCCACTGCACCATGGAATCCTTTCTCCTATCAATAGACTCTACGACGGCAATTTGTTGGCGCGACGGGTATTTAAATGTGATGGATCCCGTCCCCCGGTGCACAATGTAATGTGCAAGCGAATAAATGATCATGTGCAAGCGACCTGCGTATTTCAGTGAACTGAAATTTTTCTCATGAGTGCGAATGCCGAAAAGAATCGTCTTTAGAAGAAATGTGAGAGGGGATTGGAATTGTAGTTCAAACAAGTGAGAACCAACTGATGGCCTCTGTTGCTCGACGTGAAAAAATGAAATAAGCAAGAAGATGAAGTCCTCTTGAAGTAAGAAGCCATCATTGTAAATCTTATTCTTTGTTCAATGAAGCTGACAGACCTGTTTCTACGCGCAATATTTTATGGTATAAAGGTTTGTAGAACGCACACGTGTGAGATGGGTGCACTTGGAAAGTGTGGCTCCACGTCCAAACAACATGAATATGCACGATGCTAAGGTTCCGGTTCTCTTCGACTCTCTACAAATTGTAAGATGAACATAAGTCATTTTTCTATACCTATGTTCAAGTGATCTCACGGTGAGCTACTAAGCAACAGCAGTTTTTTTGGCTTCGTTGGTTCAGTTTTACGACATGATTGTTTCAGTGACTTATATTTGGGGTTCCTCGCGCGTGGAGAGCAGAAGGGAGACCACAAAATTGCGGGACTGAATAGGTTACAAGAACAGAAAGTTGCTCTATTGTCATTGTGGCTGAAATTTCTATAAGTTCATTCGAGTGAACGAATCCGAAAATGGAAGCTCATTTTTGGTCGCTGACATGGTCGCCCGACTTTAATGAAACTGGCATCAACGCAGGAGCCCTAGTAACGGGGTTATATGCACTTGTAGTAGTGCATACCAAAACAGCGAGGAAAGCTACACCTTTGCCGTGTTGGTGGAGCAAGCCTATGTAAAAAAGGAGACACTGCCAACCTTCGTACTACATTCGCCTAGAGGTGTGGCAATTTTTCCGCTGCTGTCGCAAGCGAGAATCGCACGTAAAGAAGGTTCTGAAAATACGTTGTACTCCTTATATAATAGACGGTTGGAAGTCGAGTTTGAGAAAGAGCAAACTCATCGCAAAGTTTTGTTGCATAGCAGTTACAACTAGTAACCATGTGAATTTCGACCTACGTCTCAGAGCTCCCAACCATGATGTAGAATGATCCATGCAATGCAGCAACAATTCGAAAAAAGTTTCTAAGCAGAGTACGGCTCCGTCTGTAGTGTCTGGATGACAAGTGCTCTCATATGAGGTAACTTTTCAACTTAAAACATTAAGGCAGCCAGGAATACTTTTTGCAACAGTTTTTCCTCTTCTGAGCGCTCCGCAGTTGAGTTGCGACATTTGACAGACCGGAAACGCCCACTTTCATTTTTTGTTTTCGAGAGTTGTCGCATTTAGTCGATCAACTGCTTTTACTAACGTCTAAAAAGGAGTAGTTGTTGAGTTCTCTTAAACTCGTTTATACTTTGGCAGACGGCACACCCAGGGATCATCTTAAGAGTGTTCAGGGACGACGCTGATGTTGAGAAGACTTTTTGGATCGCTTGGTTAGAATACAGGCGTATACAAAGAGACATTGGAGTATCTCCGTTTAAAAATGTTACTCTATATGTTTGAATTATTTTATTTGTTTTTTGTACGCAAAAAGTTGACCTCATACGTGGTTAAGCGAAGGTCGTATGGACGAAAGCTCGTCTAAAAGCACTGGAGCCCGCAGAGTGACGACGGAGTTTGTAATTTACGTGATGCAAGCGAATCCTTGAAAGAAAAAAGGCATCAAGGCTGCTCCACGGCACTTCCGCTCATGAATCCGAGCTTTACCAGCTGTGAGAACACCATTCGCTTTTTCACATAAATAAATGAGACCGCCACGAGGGGGCACGAGGCATTTCACTGGCAGCCTCAATCAATTTGACTATAGCGCAACAAGGTTTATAGAAGAGAAGGCGACAGAGGCTCCCTTGGGCCGAAATTATACAGCAAGAGTACAACTAGACTACAATGGGCTGGGCAGTGGAAACATTGCGCTGGAAAACATGTAGCGGAGAGAAGAATAATGAATGTTGCTGCGAGTCTCGACATAAGCGATTTGTTTTAACGTTTTTGTACAGTCATTTTGCCAAGGCAACTGAAAGTGCAAAAGTAAGAGTGCGCAAGACTGGCTGACCAAGTCGGGCGTGACGCTTTCAGACGACTGACGAACGGCTTTTCGTGGAAGTGGAAATGATGTAGAAGTTAACTTGTTGTGGCTTACGAGAAGAGTCTTGGGCTAAAAGAGTTGTGAGTTATGGCACGATATTGGAAGACGAGGGAATGGAGGAGGGGAGCATGTGAGACGCGGAGAAGTATCGCATGGCGTGGACAATATATTGTACAGACACATAGTACGGCGGCGAGTATATTGGTTCCATTTTCGACAGCCTGTGAAAAAGACATGATGCCCTCAATTGAAGCTTCCAAAGATGCCGGAGTCTTGCGATGTTGTATATGCGAGCGGAAGGACATACAGGTGACGTGATGAACGGTAGCGGGAAGAGGAGAATACTGTTGTGTTTGCGGGGACTTTCGCATTGGATGTACAGAGTGGGAAGGGGTCAGTGGACCGATGGTGGTGTTGTATTTTGGAATGACAGGGGGTAGCGCATAATGAGTGGGATGCGCGATGAGTCATCGTGCATGGTCAGCAATGTGATCGTAGCTTTCATCGTTGATGATTGTTGCGATCACACTGCTGGCCATTGTGACGCAGGACAAATGCTGTTCGCCCGACACAAACGTGGCGTCCCAATCAGGTCGTCTTTTGTAAGGAAGGCGTGTTTCCGGATCGTCCAATAAACAGAGGCCAGCAAGAGAAACCGGTGTCATTGTCTTTTCGCCGGAAATTCAAATTAACAAATTCAAAATCTTCCCGCCGAATTTGAACAAATTCAGTGCTTGTTGTGCATACACTACGCCTCCGTCTCCCTCTCCTTCCTCATCGAGGCGCCGCGTCCTCAACCAACGCCGCACTTCTCTCGCATTCTCATGACTTAAGACTACCCATCGGCGCGATAGCCGATCCTCCCAACAGATTCCTCCCTCCCCAATATGGAAGCCGCTGTCTCCCACCGACGCGCGTGCCGCCACAAGCTACCCAAAACCCCGTGCGGCGCCGTCGCCGACTCCACCTCCTTCTCCGCTCGCAAGGCAGAAGCCGACTGGAAGGCGCTTCGCCCTCTGCAATCCAAATATCTAAAATCCGAGCTCGCCGTCATACGTCTCGCTATCGCCGGCCACCCGATCTCCGACTACTCTCAGCGCTGCAAAACGGCCCGTCAGGCCCCGTCTCGTGATCTCGCCTACGAGATCGAGCAGATGTTCCCCTTCGCCGTTACCCGGCACGCCATTCGTCTACGCGAGCTGCTCAACAAACACTCGGTGTCGCATCAGCGTGCCGCTTGGGCAAGGAAGGTTATCATCGCCATGCTGAAAGCACCCATGGCAACGTTTTTCGAAATTGCAGATCTGCTCGTCGAGAACACGTTGCAGAATGTGGGCAAGCGCAATCATCAGAGGATACGTGCCGCCCTGACTCGTATGCTCATGTACTTGTCTGACTGTTGGCGGTACACGTTGGATCACGCCGCCGCGAAAAATGCCGCCCAGATGCTCCAGGTTTTCAGCCCAGATGATCCCCAGGCCCATCTCAGATTAGGTATGAATCTTGCCATGTTTTGCAATGGAAATCAACCTATTCGCACCTTCTTTCATTTCTGTTTCTTTCTTGCCAACAGAAAAGTAGATGTCATGCATCAAGAAGCTACTGTCGTGACCAATTTTGTGCAGGGGCTATCGCGTCATTTGGTTGAAACTCCGGAACAACGCCCTGTGCTACAGAAACGACAATTCTTTACACTCCTCATCGAAACATTGTGGACTCTTCTCGGAAACGATCTCGAAAAGGCGACAGACTCTGTGCGACGAGTGCTCCTGTGGGAATCCACTGAATCCTTTATGCAGCAGAGTGTCACCGCCGAGGAAATGATGAACATCGTCGGTGCTGTTATGTTCGTCCACCACAGATGCAGTCCGAAGGGAAGTCCGGGGGGCAAACTGCTTCCGCAATGCGAGCTCGCGGACTATCTTGTCGGCCGCTTCATTCACATTGCATGCCGCAAATACTGGCAGACATTGCATGAGGTCTACACTGCGTTGCAGAAGCGCAAGAAAAATCGCCGACGAGCCATGCAGAAGAAACGCCGGCCAGACCCAAATATTCCAGACCGCGACAAGGATGTCGCCCTGGGTTATGAAGTGTTCACAGAAAAGGTGGACATTGATGCAATTGCACCCTCCCTCGGAGCCATCAGCTTTTTGGCGCATTACTGGTCTAAATCGCGGTCTGCTCCTTCTCCTACGTTGAAAATGAAGCCTCTTGGTCGCACACTTAAGGCCTTACAGGACGTGAACGTGGAATTTGAGAAAATCGAAAAGCTGACGTGCACCGGCCCTCTGGCCAACCACATTGAGAACAAAATCCTCGATGGGCATGGGGGCCGCATTCCTGCTATGCCGGAAGACTTAAAGTTCTGCCACTTTCTACCGTGTCAGGATCAGAAAATGTTCCACCAGACAGCGTTTCATGAGGTACCGCTGGCAACCATTCTTCAAAAGACGGAGGAGGGTATCATCAAGCCAGCTCTGAAATCGATGGGCGATCAATCGCATGAATCACTTGTAGCCATGACTGCGGAGAGGCATTTAGAGGCATTTAGTGTTCGTGCAGCGAAGGAGGTCATGAGTCCAGACAGTAGTCTACGGCTTGAGCGTCCTGCCGCGTGCAACTTGGTGTGTATGACGATCCGAAAATGTCGGATTCGGAGGCTCGTCAGGGACTTGGAGAAGGTAGGAGGCGGGCATCTTCGACGAATGTCACTGGAATCGAGTTGTGAGCAGGCTCAAGAGGAAGCCGTCGTCACTGCCCAAGAAGCCGAACAGCTTCCATCACCGGGACAGCCGAGAGCATCCATCGCTGAGCTGGAAGACAACTTTCACGAGTCGATTACCCCGGGCCAACTTGGTGCGCAAGTAAGGAAAAGACGGCGACTTTTGGGCACGTGCACGGCATCTGTCATCCAGTCACCAATGCCCGCTTTCCAGAGCAATCCGAGCAGTGGCGATAGGGTGCTGCAGGGAGATCGGACGACCCAGGATTCGGCTCGAACATATCGCCATGTTTTGCCTCCCCCGAAAGTGGGAGAAAAAAGAACCAGAGATCAGCAAAGACAGATAGGCACTCCCATGCTTCGGAGGTCATACGGCGGCATCCTGTCTCAGGGCTCGTTGCAGTTGTCGTATGCCCAACCCGCACAACCGCGAGTCCATCAGACTAGGTCTAAGCAGCCGCTGCGGAACCAGCCCTCGCAGTTGTATTTGATTTTGAGAAACTTTCTCTATCCACCACAGGTGGAGTCATGCTCCACGCCAGGGGAGACTGATTGCCCTGCGTGGTGGCGAAGGTCGCCGAGCGACGAAATGTCGCAAAACATTTTCAGCAGTCAGCCGTTGTCATCAGACGGATGAGCGACGCGTAGGCTGGAGGGCGTCGACTACCCAATGGGAACTGTTGCGATAAAATGGGACGATGTCACTTTATAAATGCAGGGATGTCACTGGAAACTTTGCGTGACTGTTTCAGGTGGTGTCGTTGGTACACACACGTGGTTGGAGGCATGCATTTGCAATACCTCGCGAAACAGTATAATTTTTCCGCCGAGTGTATATTACATGCGAGACTCGAACTCCAGAAGAAAATCCACAACCCTTTCTTAGACGTCCATGATGGGTTCAACAGCTAATACAGTATCATATTTGAGTGTGATATCTGGTTTGGATTGAAATTCCTTGACTTGGGTTGAGTTAGACGCCTTCTTCGGCTCATCGAATCAACACATTTGATGTAGCCAAGGGAAACCATCATTGCTTCACAAGTTCAGACGCCCCGTTCCCGCCGTGATAGACAGACTGACATGGTTCTTGATGCACTAACTCGATATACTGTACTATAATCCAAATCATATGAAATCTAAAATATTATTCTCAGAAACACCTGATGCTTGGCAGCCTCTGGCTGGCCGTGGGTCTGAAAGATCTTTTGCAATCTCGCGGACCCTCTCAATTGCTCCCGACCGTATCAAAACCTCACAAACACAGAACAAGTGCTCTCGATCAAAGACCAGTTCTCTTTCAATCCACTTCGCACAAGTCTGCGGCTCTGTCTCGGAAACGCTTTGCGCAGCGATGGAAGGGGCTGCAGCATTCGCATCCAGTGTCGCCCTGTGCTCCGCACGAGTGGTGAATCCCGGGTTGCGCAGCAGTTGCCCCCCGTCCATGAACAGCGCCCCTACTTTCTCCCGTCGGCAGGTAAGCCGACTAGCTCTTGGCGCGTTGTTGGCGACGACTGTTCTTGAGCCAACCGGCAGGGCCCTCGCAGCCGCGCGTAGACCCGAGTATATCAAGGATGAGAGCGGCATCAGCTACTACGATGTCAAAGGGGGGAGCGGGGCCGGACCTATTAATGGCGATTTCGTCGTCATAGATTACGTAAGTTGTGCAGTCCAATGTAACTGGACCGATTCTCGTTTCGTGATATACGGGTTTGCCGACTGATGTTTAACCGGTTGACCTGAGCTCTGTTACTCTTTCGGATTTCTGAGCGCAGCAAGCGTTCCTTAGCAATGGAAAGATATTTGATAACCGAAAAGGCTTCGTTTTTCAAATGGGACAAAGGCAAGTCATTCCTGGTCTGGAAACGGCCGTGTCGACGATGAAGCCGGGTGGGGAAAGGAAAGTCGTCATCCCGCCAACATTGGCATACGGGGACAGGGGCGTTTGCATTGGTGAATCAAAAGAATGCTTAGTTCCGCCGGGTGAAACGCTGGGTTATTCGGTGAACTTGCAGCGAGTCGCGATTTCACCAACATAGTTTTGCGCAGTCAATCAGTGATGGTTTGCGTCATAGCGTCATTTCGCTTATTCCGCAACCTCTATAAATCCGAGCTATATACTGCACTCTGAGAGCTATTTCTCCAAGCTTAGTTTTACAACAACACGCCGCGTGGCGATGTGAGCGAGGTCCAGTACACTGTGCCGCTATGTCTCTATTCTTCCATGGGTACATCAAAAATAGCCGTTTGACCGTCGCGTGCAGCCGAATAGTTCGCTGCGACTTGCTCCCAATCAATGATGTGCCAGAACGCGTCGATGTATTCAGGGCGGCGGTTTAGGTACTTGAGGTACATGGCATGTTCCCAGATATCGAGTCCCATGATAGGAGTAGACGGTGCGTCAACGATTCCTTCCATGAGCGGGTTTTCCTGGTTGCGCGTGTTAGAAATACATAGTTTGCCGTCGTTCCCCACACCAAGCCAGGCCCAACCGCTCCCGAAGACCTTCATCGCCGCGGCGTTAAACTCCTTGCGCATGGCGTCGAAGGACCCGAAATCGGTCTCTACCATGGTTTTGAGCTCGTCTACTGGCGCGGAGGTCGTCTCCGTCTCGGGTGCGAGAATGCTGAAGAATAAGGTGTGGTTGTAGTGACCGCCGCCGTGGTTCATGACTGTCGTGCGGATAGCCTCCGGCAGCGAGCTAACTTTTCTCTGAATTTGAGATAGTGACAGATCCTGTTCGCATGTACCAGGCCATTGTACGAAGACGACCGTAACGGGTTAGATGATGAAAGCGATCACTTGCACGCATAAATCACTCGAGCAAAGCAAGAAGAAAAGACTTACCTGAATCTCGCTTCCATGCTCGCCTGTGAGAACGCCGTTCAAATTAGAGACATAAGTCTGGTGATGTCTAGTGTGATGAACCTGCATATATGACGACACAAGAAATGCAATTGCTCTAGTTAGTCAGTGAGATAAAACATTTGCGTCACACTTCGCCGTAGAGGGGGGCCATTTCGCGATATCGTACCGTCATAGTCTTCTCGTCAAAATGCGGCTCAAGCGAGGCGTAGCCATACTTCAGATCCGGCAACGAAAAAGTTGACACGGATCGCGCAGCTGGGGACGCGACATCTTGCGAAAGAGACCGGGCGAGCGGGGCCGCGCGAGAAAGCAGACGTGAAGCTCCTGCACGGAGAGCCATGCTATGCTGATAATTGGCGAGGGCAATGTCGATTGTGACTTGGGGAGCTGCGTGTGCGGGCGGGAGGCAGGAGATTGAGGCTATGCAGTCGAGAAGCGTTGCGAAGCGGCGGGTGGATGGATTTGGAGAGATGAAAAGGGCATTGCCAAGCCAGACCATGCGCACCAATCCAACGAAAGGATCGAATCGCACCGGGCTCCTCATTCTCATATGACCAAGTCTGGGAATTCATCAAATTGGTTTTGGCTTTTTGTGAATTAATTTTCCCTTTGCAGCGTATTTTGTGGCCTTTAAGAGTTTTTTCTCCAAAAAGGATTTACGATCCAAATGGCCTTGCTTCAGATCAAGTCTCATTTGATTTCATGCGCCACATAAAAATGTACCCTCTATTTTCACATATTTCCAGGCACATACCGTCGAAAAATATCGTATTTACTGCAACCCGGGTGAGCCCTAATTGGACCCTTGAAAACCCGAAACATTTTCCCTGCCCAGCATTGCGGACGACGCTCGGGCACGCGCGTCGGCGAATAGTTCGTACTAATCCTTTCAAGTCCCCCTTCCCGTCATCATTGCCATTTTTCGATAGCCCGAGGGGAGCTCGATCGACAACAACGGTTGAGCCTTTTGCACAAGGCAAGCAGAAATGGTACGTTCGAAACGCTCTTCAAAATCCGGTTCGCTGGTTTGCGGACTGCGTGATCTGATCGCCTTCCCAAACCGTCGTCCGAACTTGCGCAGTTGCAGCGGCACACCACAATGCACTGGAAGTAAGAGCTTGAGATGACTAACTCTCGATCCTTGCATTACGAAACCGCTTTTATCTGCGCGACGCCACTTTCCTTTCAATTGCCATTGTCCGACAACGCTCTTCGCCGACGTTTGACTTTCGTGAATTCTCGCATCTTCCAACTTTAGGGAAAATCCAAAACCGGAAAGGGCCGTAAGCCGGCGCCCGCGCCGCTGTCTGTGAAGAAGACCGTCCAGAAGAAAGTTGAGAACCCGCTCTTCCAGAAGCGCCCGAAGAACTTCGGCATTGGCCAGGATATTCTTCCCCAGAATGTCGACCTTGGCCGTTACGTGAGGTGGCCGAAGTATGTCCGTCTCCAGAGGCAACGCAAGATCCTCCTCGTCCGCCTCAAGGTACCCCCGTCCATCAACCAGTTCCGCCTCCCGATGGACGCCTCCACCACGAGCGCCCTCTTTAAGCTGATGAGCAAGTACAAGCCGGAGTCGCAGATTCAAAAGAAGGAGCGACTCGCCGCTCTGGCTGAGGCCAAAGAGGCCGGTGGCGATGCCACTTCGACGAAGAAGCCCGTCAGCTTGAAGTTCGGTATCAACCACGTCACCGAGCTTGTCGAACAGAAGAAGGCGACCCTCGTCGTTATCGCCCATGACGTTGATCCGCTTGAGCTTGTCGTCTGGCTCCCGGCCCTATGCAGAAAGATGGACGTCCCATACTGCATTGTCAAGTGCCGCGCGCGTCTCGGGACTCTTGTGCACCAAAAGAATGCGACGGCGGTTTGCTTCACCGGCGTGCGTCCTGAGGACAGGGCTGAGTTCTCGAAGATCACTGAGAGTTGCGTGTCCAACTTCAACGATAGGTTCGAGGAAGTGAGGAAGCGATGGGGCGGTGGAATTATGGGTATCAAGTCTCAGCACAAGACGGAGAAGAAGAGGAAGGCATTAGCGGCTGAAGAGGCCAAGCGTATTGGCACTTAGACAATTCGTAAATTGCGACCAGTATTCTTTTGACGCTCTGATATCTTTGTCCCGTAGATTTTGCGCTCTTTCGCGTACTTTGTACGTCTGCAGCGGCAGGCTACTTAACGATCCTTGATGGACGTCAGCAAATGGAACTCGACCAGGCGACCAAGACTTGGACGAAAATAAAGAAGATCGGTGGTAGATTTTCTTTTGTGTGCTGTGCAGATTTATTGGATCTCTATACTCGTGTGATCGTCAGCGTGGATTCTGGTGGCGTGTGACTCTGACGACAGTGCCCCCTCAAAACCAAACTCGTACGCAAGAGCGCTTCACTGGTGAATCGAGTGTCTACTTCGTGAGAACAGGAGCGAAACTAGTGTGCCGTTCCTCTGCAGTACTGTTGCCGCAGACAGCGGAAGGCAGGAGTTCTATTTCTATACCACCGAAACTAAACTGGTATCTAAAACTCTCCGAGGTTGAATAAGCGTAGTGTGGGCAGCGATGAAAAATTACTGCCCCTTGGCAGCCAAATCCTCCATCTTGTAGTTGTGATAATACATGATATCGCCATCGTTGGGGTCAACAAACTTGCAGTGCGCCCACGAGCGTCGGACAGCTTGCCACACGTTAGTATCATCCTTATAGTAGTAATCTCCCAACACTTTTTTGATCGCCTCCGTAGCTTCCTGAGCGTGGTAGAATGGCATCTGCGAGAAGAGGTGGTGGGCGACATGGGTATCGCCAATGTGGTGCTGCAAGATATTGTAGATTCCGTAATCGCGATCAACTGAGCACAGAGCGCCGCGCACAAAATTGAACTCCTTCGGCGTGTAGTGAGGAATGGCGGGGTCGGAATGTTGCAAGTAGGTAATCAACACGAGCCACATGTTAACAAACATGTATGGCATGAAGTAATACTTGCCGACATTGTTAGCGCCAAACTTGTGCACACAGCCCGCAAGCACGCCTAGCGCGGCGAAGATGCCAATATCCGACACAACGATATCCCAATAATCGCGCAGCGAAAACATGGGCGCCTTGGGGTTGTAGTGATTGGCACCCTTGCCATAGTTCTGACCAGCAACGTTGGCCGCAAGGTAAGCCCACCATCCGAACGTGAACATCTGCAAGATGCCTAACAAATCGCCGATTGGGGTTTCTTCCATGGCTTCCAGAATGGCGTGGCGATACTTGCGCACTCCATTCTCGATCTGAATACCGTGGTTATGGTTGTACTGCTCCTTTGTAGACGGAACGAAGACCTGATCGTTCTCCGTGTGATTAGTATTCTTGTGATGCTGGGAATGCGTGATGCGCCACGAGTGGTACGGTACGAGCAGAGCGCTATGCAGAACCAAGCCGAACGCGTCGTTGACGCTCTTCCACGGCGAGAACGACTGATGTCCGCACTCGTGCGCGAGGACCCACACGCCGGTCGTGACGGCGCCCTGCCACCACCAGTACATCGGCCACACGACGAACGAGACGACCCAGCGCGGGACGCCGAAGTCCGTGAGATGCTGGTCGAGCCACCGGACGGAAACGGCCATCGCGGCGATCATGAGCAGGTCGGTGCAGAGATAGCGCAGCGACTTGAGCAGCGAACGCTTGAAGCAGTGCGCAGGCACCACCGCGCGGATCTGCCCTATCGTCAGCGACTCCGGCGCGATGGGCGCCATCGGAAGGTTGTCAGCGCGTAACTGGGACTGGGCGACCATGGTTGAGTAGGGGGTTGAGGGTGGAAGGGGAGGGGAAGGTGTGAGAGCGGCTCGGACGAGGCGGGGGAGGGCTGAGAAGCGTCGCTAAAACGGTGGTTGTTGGAGGAAGAGATGACGGCACGGTGGATTGACGGCGGAAAAGCGATTGCCGGAAAGATTGGAGCGGCGACGGAGATGGGAGCGTCCCTTGGCGCGGATGCGGGGGGGGAGCACGGGGGGTGATTGGGCGCGGTGGTCGGGAGAGGTCCTCCGGGCGGCGGGGGAGCACCAATGGTGAGGAGTGGCGACGGCACTGGGACAGCGCGCGGCCACTTGGCGCACGCCGCGGCGATGGGAGAGGGTCCGGCGGCCTCGAGTTCCCTCGATTGGACAGCATGCGCCGAATGGGAGACGAGAGAACAAATGGCCGGTGGTTGCCTTGCGACGAACCGCACGTGTGCGGACGCCATTAGAGCGCGTATCTCAGGTGCGCAGGGCGCGCAGCTTCATTGGGCAGCGGGCGTATCTGCACACGATTACGAATTATGCGCAATCGCCTTCGCGCAGTCTTTCTGTCGCGATTGATGTGAGGACATAAAGGGGGGGTTCCCTTATTTTTGGAACAGACCCCAAACAATTGAACATGCAAAAAATAGAAAAAAAGGACCCATTACTGGGGCCAGCGGAGAATTCTTCCCTGGCAAGCAGCGACAAATGATCTCATAGCACAATACGACGTGGATGAATTTAAAAATAAATCTGCTTATTGAAGAGAGTGAGCGTCACTACTCCCAGAAACGCTGTTTTCTCTATGCAATTGGGCGGACTCTTTGAAAATCGAAAGCACGAAGAGCCAAAAGGCTCGCCCTTCTTCCTCTTTGAGTCCAACCCTTTATCACGGACCTCGGTTTCAATGCCCTTCACTACTGTGCCAGTGGCAAGACAACATCCGGCACAATGGCTCGACGAAACACCTCCGCCGCATACAAAAAGCGAACTCGGGAAGCTGTGAATCGAAACTTTGTGAAAATGGGTTTGTATACACTACCAACGGTGCTGTCCTCACATCTAGTAGAGCCCTACAGTTAGTTCGCCTGAAGATGGCCGCTGACCAGGCCAAGAAAGCCGCAAAGGAATGGAAGGCTTGTGAATCGGCGCAGAAAGCAGCTCGTCGAGTGGACAAAACCCGCAGAGAAAGCAATCGAATTCGTGCTTCGGCGCTGGGGAGGCGTGCATCTTTGTGTGGTATGAGTACAGAGGCCTTCAAGAGGTGCGTTCGACCCATGGCGGAACGGAGGGCAAAAGCGCGTGCGTTTGTGGCTCAGAAGCGTGAAACGGCCGCTTACGATCGCCAAGAGGAGCTCATGAAAGCGCAAACGGCTAGCGCTGCGCACGGATAACTTGCTTGAAGCATGACGTGGCACTTGCATTTGGGGTCATACAGCGTTGATTTTTCCGGATAAAAGGAAATTGATGTTCGATCTTTAGGGCATTTTTCTGTTTCTGCGGAGGCCTGACTGATGCACGCGCTTCACTTCTGGCTTCGTCCGACACGTTGGCAGAGAACAAGGGTTTTTCAGAGGCGTGGCACATATGTCCACCCCCCCCCCCCCCCCCCCCCCCACTCCCCCCCCGTCCCCGCCGCTATCCCCAAGCGCTGCTCGCGTATCAAGCGGCAACAGCATGCATGCACGCCGCTGCCGCCTCGGAGGAGCGGTGCGTGCGTCGAGCTCGTGGTCGAGTCGGTGCCGGAGCAGGCGCGCGAGATGCGGATCTTGTAGGCATTGCTCCTGCCTTGCACACGTCACCATACGTTCGCAAGACAGATGGTAGAATCGCGAATTCTCGTACCGCCTTGCACAAGTGGGCACAGGTTCGCATGACACCATCCGAGTAACGGCGCATGCTTTTTGGCAAGAGCAGAGTGACGTCTTGACGTCTAGACCGCTCAGCAAGGCGGACGACATGTCGTCCTGTATAATTGACGTTCCTTGCATGGGCGATGAACGTAGGCCGCCACAGCTCTTCATCGTCGACGCCACATTTGGTATCGATGCCGCAGATAAAAGTGGCAAGTCCACCTCGGTGCACCCATGTGCTCTATGCTACTCTGGGTACAGAGTGTACCGGGGTGCCAATCATAGAAATCCCTAGCTGTAGGACGAGCACGACAAGACCAATGCGCATGTAATACTGTATGTCCTTAATCGTTACACCAATGGCCCTCGTTCCCCTGTACCGCTTTTGCATTGTACAGCAGAGCCGGTGTATGCTCCCCTCCAGGAACGAATCCAGTAACTGCTGTGGCAATCAAGGCGGACTTGATAAAAAAGGCCCTCAGACAGGCCCTCTGGGCCTGTCTTAACAACGACACCTTGCTCTGCACCATCAACAAAAAACTATGCTCTGCATGCAAGCCGCCTTGCCAAGACGTCAGCGCTTATACTGGACGGTATGTCGAAAGAATTACTGCCCATTGCTTACCTCCGCCGCCCACGTGCCCTCACCAAATACCTTTCTAGATCTATTCTGTCCCTCCATCTATGAAGCTGAATTTCTCCTTCACGACGAGCCATATTTGTCTTCCTGGGCGAATAGCGATGTGCATCATGTAACGTCAAGCATGGCTTCATTTGAAGCCAGCTTTTTTGCAACGATGTATACATTAAATCGCAAACGTATGAAGTCACCTTGGATACCATTTCATTAACGTACTCGCCCTCGGCAATAACTCGTTGCAAACCATCGGGATAGCAGTCTTGATTACTATAAAAGTATTATAATGCAATAGGGATTTAAGTACAGTATCAATAGCGCTTTATACGGGCGTTTTAGTTTCGAAGACATCAATACGAAACATGTCAAGGTTGCTCAAAAAAGCTTCTTTGTCAGGCATATCTGAAGACGCCCGGAAGGACAAGCAGTTCTCTAAAATCTGCCCTTACGGAACCCAGAAGCCAAGTGCACCGGAGAGAGCCTTCTTACCAAGAGAGCACAAGTCCAGAAAAAGCTGAAAAGTAATCTCATATGATGCCAATTGGCCTCCTATGAGTCGCTTTCCATCTGGACAGCAGAATCCGCGGGATTTTCGACGCTGCAACGCTACAACACCAATCTATACGCGTAATACATCAATGCATCCAACTCATTTGAAAGGGAGTGCTATCAACGTGCCGCGCAATCCATCGTTTCTTCTTTTCAGACTACGGTAGTGCCATGACGGTACCGTTCGCAACGTGCTAATCCTCGGACAAAGGATTTCAGAAATGCAAGCCTTTTTCTTGAAAAGTATTAAAAAAGCGATTTCGTCCTTGACTGAGAAGGGAAAAAACTTCATATCATTTTGAAATCTGAGCGGGAGCAAGGGCATGTCCAGAGTGTCCTCGTTTATAGAGATTGAAGGAAGAACAACTCCGTACATATCTATCCTTGCAACGCCTGTATGCCTCTGTACACCGGAAGATGGGAACGTGTTATCTTTCTGAATTACACGTTGACGTCCATGATTGAAGAGGACTTCCGCATGAGAGTTTTAGCGTGCGACATGGTCTTTGCTGAACCTTGTGTCCTTGAGGACAACCTATAGAACATAAAGAGATGCAAAACTGCATGGGAATGCATGTGCACTAAGTTATCACTCCACACGAAAGTCATGCTGCCATAATTGTTGCAGAGCAGTCACGCTCCGAGGGCGAGTGAGTGTTGCTTATCTGACTATACAGTGTGACGTAAGTGTGGGAGTCACAAAAAAGCAATTGATGTGCCGTGCGGTAGTGGTTTGTTGAAAGTTGCAGGCCTCGAGTTTGCCTATCGCAACACAAAAACTGCACAGCAAAGAAAAACAAGAGAGGCAGAAAAAACCTTGTCTGCCTTGCAGTCAATGCGTGTTGCGATGCCCATATGCTGCTCCACCGGCTTTGCAACAACCTCCGATTAGCTCCAGTGGCAGAACTTTGCCTGCACTGCCCATACCAATGCAGAGGAACGGAAATGGCGGGCACTGATCACATGAAGCTGAGTAGCTGATTCTTCTCCACAAAACACAGATCAAAGACGAGATGCGCTAAAAGCGAAACAACACACGCTGCCTATCAGTTTACGAAAGTGTGCTTCACATGCATCACCTTTCAACCCCCGGGGGCGTCTTCTACGTGTGTAACTATGGTGTTGCCGAAATAGGTCGTGTGATGGCTCGGAAGACGCGTAAAGTCGGGACGTGGACATGCATGCGGCGACACTAGCGATGGGAAAGGTAGATGAAGGGTGGCAGATGACGTGTCCGGCAATTATTTTGTGTCATTGAAGCGTCTTGTGAGTTTGTTGTTGTTAGCCAACGGAAGGGGTACCGCTGTACTGCAGCAAAAATGAAAGAAGAGTTGTGTTGCAAAGAGGCTGGCCAGTTGTTCGCTTTGCCTTTGTTGGTATCTACTGTAGCAACTTTCGATAGGCTTCTGACTGTGCCATTTTGTTGAAGACAGACATCACTTCTGGTTGTTTTTACGGTGCAGATGAGGGACTGTTAAAAAGACAGGGGGAGGGAGGGGCAGCTAGGAGAAGTGTTGCTATTCAAGTGCAGTCACATTGCTGGCGGCACAGTCAACCTCCGATGATATTTAATCTTCGTGCTGCAAACTGTTACGTTGGAGTTAGTGATTATATACTGTGTGAGGCACGAGTACAGTATGTATCATACAGTACCCAAGAGTAGGTCGGTCTCCTTCCCAGTTATTCACATCTGTAGTCTCGTGCCGCTGTGACCAGCTTGGAAGCCACACTCCTCCTTGCGTGGCTCCAAACAATTTTGGTGATGTTGGGGTGGTTTAACGGAAGAGGGTAATGTATCGTGTGACGAGGGTTTGGGATTATTATTCCGTATCATTCCATCATGGCAGAAGAAGAAGAGATGTCCCAGCTGCAGACGATGCAGCTGGTGTCGTCAGTCGAGAGCCGAACAACAAGGAGATCTCAACGCTGCGCGCCCTGACAAAGCGCACTGTCGTATGTAAGTTGTGTAAGGGTGA